TGGTGGTGTCCTCATTTGATACAGTTTTAGTTTCTGGACTATATGCAAGTTTATTAATGTGCGTGATTCCTTTAAGATTAACACGATGTTGAACATTTGATAGACCACCAGTAATTCCATTACGGAGAATGTGATAAGCTTCAACTGAATCTAAAGTCATTGGTAAATTATTTTTTAATGCATAATTTCTTAAATTGATTCTTAAACGTTGAACATCCTCATCTTTATTTGATTTTACGACATTGCAATAACAACACATTAACTGACAATTTTCTTTGGTATGTGGTTTTTCATTATCGATTCTATCCAATGTTGGTTTATTTGCATATGTAAACGCTTTACCACACATTTTGCATTTAGATGAAAGGATTAAATCGTGATAGTATTGATAGTCATCCATTGAAACATTATTTTTAGTATCTCTTTCTGCTTTTTCATCTTGTTTCTTATATGCTTCAATTTTATATTTCCAATACTTTTTCGTTAATTCAAAACTTGATTCTATCTCTTCCTCAGGATATTTTTCATTAGGATTAAAGTCTTTATATGCTAAAGCGTAACGAATCATTGATGCATTCGATGATAAAGAAAGATTATGAAGCATGTCAATTTTATAAACAAATGTTTCTTCGATAATTTTATCAATTGGGTCAATCATAATTTCAACATCTTTATTGCAATAATGAATAAAATATTCTAATCTATTCTTAAAATTTTTAGCATCATTGAGATATATTTGATAATCACTATCTGATATAGTTTCTTGAGTTAATGCTGAATAAAATGAATCTTGAGTGAATGGTTCCTCTTTATATAATTCTTCTTCGTAATTTTCCCATGATGAATTGATAAGGGAAAAAGGATTTAACACGTGATTTATTGTTTCCGAAATCTTGAGTGAATTGGTCTAATGTCCCACCCGCTATATAATTTCTGATGTCAATAAATCTCAATTCATATGGAACGTTTGTTTTCTTTACAATGATTTGCTTAAATTGAGAAGATGAACCCAGCATTGATTTTATTTTCCATTTTGCAGTGTTTAAATCACGAAGAATTAAATTTAAATCAAACTTTCCCGAATTAAAACCTATGATATTCACTTTATTGAATTCCTCATCTAGAAGTTCTTTAAATGCTTCCTTTTGTTTCTCATTTAATGTTTGCAACTTCATTAATTCTTCATATTGTTCAATATTTGATTTAGCAACTAATGAACAGGTTGAAAATAAAAATTCAATCCAATCAGAAATAAAAGAATCACTTGAAGTTAAGCAAAAATTCCTCGTAAATGTTTTATCACGGTCTACGACCTCGCCGCTTTGCGGCTTTAATTTAACCATTGATGATACCATGAATGGTTTTAAGTAAGCGTTCAAAGTTGCACATTCGGAAAGTTGAAGTTCTTCTTTAGTCTCTAATGTTTCAAAGTCAAAAGTAATATAATATCTTGTTGGTTTATAATATTCCTGCAAATTGTGAGCTAATAGCCATTGATATATCTTCTGTTTCGTGATATGTGGTGCATATGGTTGCTGTGTCTTTTGCAATTGAACGTCTTGAATTAATCTTCCATTATTTTCTTTACATTTCTCACAATGCTTTAAAAATCTTCTTTGGTTTTTCCTTTCTGGGTCATCACGGATAGAATAAACTTCTTCTTTGCAAAAGGGGCAAACTTTATATCCTGTGAGTGCTTCAACGTCTGTTATTCTGTCAGCGTGAAGTTTTCCACATGGACTCTGTGTTAATAAAATATTTACTGTTTCAAATTCTGGATCTATCATTATTGATTCCACTAATGGAAAGTCTACCTTGTTAATGTCTACGTCTTCTGGTTGAGGGTCACAATAATAAAAATCAATATTAACGTTTAACATTCTTGCTAACCTCTCACTTTCTGATGAAATGTCAAACCCTTCATATGCATCTATTGCTTCATTTAAATAGCTTCTACGAGTTTTAGGATTAACACCATCAGGAATGTTATAGAAGCGTTTAAATAACCTTCTACCTTCTGCTCTAATTTGATTATCATTCATTTTAGCTGTTCCGTTTTTGTTCATTTATGTAAGAATAAAAATTAAAAAATAAATAAAAATAAAGTTTATTTTTTTTAAAGTCCGAGACTCAGAGAGTCCAGGGCTAAAGTCCATAAAATGAATTAAGAACACATAAATTTTTATCATCTGCGATGTGATGAATACATTTTAATTTACTCAAGAATGCGTACCCTGATACATTAAATCTAATTCCTGTCTTATTTAATTTCACAACTTTGAAAAGGAATGTATGAATAGCTATAAAATGATGAGATGATGTTTTATGGGTTGCTTCCATTTTTTCTGAAATAAATGAATAAATATAATGTTTATAAGTTTTCATATCTTTTATGTTCTTAATAACGAATGGTATAGACCTTTCCACTTCGTCTTCCTTCGGTGCTGTTCTTTCATATAAAACATTATTGGTATCTTCAATAATGAAACCACAATCGCATAAAATTTTATATGTACCAATTGTTTCTTTTGATATTTTATCTAATAATTCAAAAACTTTATCAACACCCGTGCATTTATTTAAATAATAATTTGTGTAAATATCATGGTCTTCTTTCTTAATCGTATTTGTTGCATATGTTACATTTTTCAATGCTTTTTTGAATTTTTCAGAATCAAGAGGAGGTGAAAGTAATATACATGGATAATCTCCATCGTCAATAAACTGAAGCTTATGTTTACGAATAAATTTAGTACCTTCTTCTGAAAGTGTTTCGTCAATATCACCATCTAATAAATTTTTAGTAGATTCCAAAAAGTAATTTTTATATCTTTCTTCATGAGATTTCTGTACTTCTGATTCTGAAGCTGGGATATTCATTAAACCCTCTACTTCATTCTCATTATATTTTTCAACTTCTCTTAATTCCTTAATTTTTTCATCTATTTCATCTCTTATTTTTTCCAGTCTTTCAATTTCATCATATTCATCATCTTTAATCCGTTCTTCATAATATTCAGGGAAAACATCAGGTTCTTTAGGTTTTTCTTCTTCAGATGTAGGATATAAAAAATTTATAACATCATCTTTATTCATTTTTCCATCATAATCTAAATCATTTAATAACTCGGCAAATTTTTGACAATTTCTTAAATAATATTTATTAACTTCATAACCCGCCTCCTCTAATATATCCTTTATTTCCTCATTTGTGAATCCCAATTTCTTAACATTGTTAGTTGTGACGCTCATTTATCATTAAATAAAAAAATAAATTATTCAAAAAATGTAAGACATGAATTTTTAAAGTTTATTTTTTAAATTTTTTTTATTTTTTATTTCATTATGTAAAGGGTTTGTGAAAATTTCTTACGATTTTAAATCATGATTTATTCAAAAACGTAAGAATAAAAAGCGTAAGAATCATACATTTATTTTATCAATTGTATGAAAATTACTTACAAAATCGCTCAATATTGTATGAATTCTTACGTTTACAAAAAAAGTCACAAAACCCGCAATATATACTACTGATATGAAATCAAATGTTACATTGAATAATAAAAATACTATATTGAAATCTATTGGAATGAGAAGGATAATCTAAGTATTATTATAATTCTATGAGTTTTATCATATTGAATTAAAATTAATGGATGAAGGGAGATTAGACATATATCAAAAGAGATTAATCTAATGTACAGTTCATAATTTTGTTTATATGCCCAGACTCTATTTATATATCGTTGTCATGCGTTCACTACCATTTAATTCAAAAATATTCAAATTAAAAATAACCTTTTTAGATTGAAATAATAATATATTAAGGGTTTCGTTTTGCTAAAATTGTCACTTTTATAGCATATTTGTTTTTGGATGTTTTGCGAAACCAAAAAAAAAACCTATGATATACAATGTGTGTGTAAAGAAAATACTTTATTTACTAGTTAAAAAATCATTTGGTATTGATCAAGTTATTTTTTCTGGATAAGATATTATATGGATAATTGGATAGAAAATACAATTATATAATCTTGTACCTGGTTTAATTAAGCTAATTGTCATCAGAAACTTGTAATTTTTATGAATTTCAGATTTTCTTTTCATTACTGCTTTTCTTAATAGGTCAAGTTCTTATTTACGTTATAAAGTATGATATTTACAAATATCAAGTTATCATGTTTTTTGAGAAATTATGAGAAACAAACAAAAATGAAAAAGATAGGAATAGCAATGAATAGTGATGTGGGTATAGAAAATGTAAGAGATATGAATGCAAAGCAATCAGTATTTAGGATAATGACCATAGATTTCGAAAAAAAAATGCTGCATATTGAGCGAAAACTATGATTATATTATAAGACTGTCATTTAAAGCATAATGAAACTATTCCCTTTTCATTTTAATCGAATAAGATAGTAAAGATTTTTGAATTAGCTAGAAACTGATGAGATGTTTTCACAAATCAGATTTTTAATCTCTATAATGCATAATTCACTCAATATCTCAATTTTGATAGTGCGAGATATTTTTGCTATCGGTTTCGCAATTTTGACACAATAGCAAGAGGGTTCTATAAGCATTATTATCAACGTAGAATCTGAATATCATATCAGAAAATGTCGCAAATCTGACATTTACCCGACCAAATAGCAAAAATAATTGAATACTTTTCGCAAAAACTTTAAAAATCGATAAAAATATGAAATATAGATATTAAAGAGACTTTTTATATAATATTCATAAAGATTTTCCAAAAATATGATACCGCAAAATTAAAAAAGTGACGTCTTGAGTGGAGTCAAATGTCGAAATTGCTAGCTAAATGTTTTTTAGCGAAATTGCGTATTGTACGTTTTTTTCGCAAAACGAAACCCTTAAATATATTCAGGATCAGTGTATCATAGATCATTAATTTAGCTTGAGAATTTAAGTTCATTCTTTATCAAGTTTTTTGACGGTTTTATTTTTTACAAAAAGAAAAAAGAAAAATCACTAAAATGGCGATTGATATCAATAAAGTTTCACATCCACTCCTCCGTGAGCAAGAAGACGGAACAGAAAGTCCATATAGCCGCGACAAGGAGTTCACAATCACTTGCACAACGCCAGATGGTGAACAAACATTCGAATTAGTCTTATTCTACTCTCCAAGCGGAAATGCTCCTTTAGAGGAGTTATGTATTGAATTATACAAGGAAGAAGATATATTTTACATTGCAACTATTTCCATCAATGAAGAAGCTTTCAAAACTACTTATGCTAAGATGCTTAAAGGCGATTTCGCACAGTTCCCAGACAAAGTTAAGACTTTGATTCAAAATGTTGAAACAAATAGAACTGTTTTCTCAGCACTTTTCGATAATAATACATTAACAATCAAGCAGAAGCTCCAATTCAAGACAGTTAAGATTTTGGAGCTTAACTTTACAGTTCTTGAGCCAGATGATGATTACGTTGTCGAAGTTGCTCAATTCCGTTACGATAATAAGAAAGTCTTAGCAGATGCCCTTGAATCATCATACGATGAACTTTGCAAACATGTTCAGAAGCAGAATAAGCAGCTTTACCAGCAGCTTGTCCGTGGCCAGGATTTCAATGCCTCACGCTCAATGAAATAACTGACCAAATCTATTAAATAAATATTTAAATTTTTTGATTGATTAATTAGCAATAGATCTTGTTTTAAAACAATGTGATTTTTATCAAAAATATATGATTTTTCACAAGCTGCTGAATTGACTAGAAATTATAAAATCCTACTATAGGTGATGTTTTATGCAATGTCAATTCAAACTTTGACAAAAAAATTATAATAGAGTTTGATAAACATAAGGATATAACCTGAATTTCTTTGTAACTGAGTCGATGTTTGGCGAGTTCTATTCATTTCTCATTTGTAGATCTCATATCATATGGTTTTTATTATCAGAAGTCTAAGAAAATTGCGAAATTAGTTGTCACATTTTTTATTAAATATGATTTTTGCATTTCTGACTTTTTCCCGAGCACTTGAACGAAATATGACATTTGAAGGTGTTCAAATCAAGTATGGAATTGATACGGATGGATTTGCATATTTCGGATCAGCATCAAAAGCGCAAAACGCAATTAATTTCACATATTCAGGTGCCGTTTTGCTCCCAGAAGGATTAAAGTACAGAAACAGAACTATCAAGTTTAAGATGATTAAAGAATTCGCTTTTGCCAATACAAAAATCACTTCAATTTCACTTCCAGCAACGTTAAAGTGGATTGGCAGGTCTTCCTTCGAGAATTGTGTCGGATTAACAGTTATCAACGCTTCTGATACTAATTTAACCATGATTGACAGAAGAGCTTTCAAAGGATGTCGAAATCTTAGAAATATATTTTTGCCAAGTTCCGTTTTTGCGTTTGGCAGATCCACATTCGAAGGAACTCTCATATCCCACATTCCAAACCTCAATTATACATTGATTGAAGACTTTTCATTTGCAAATAATCATGAAATCATGGCTGTTGACCTTTCCAAGTCATCCTTAACAGTTATTGGTGAATCATTATTCGAAAACTGTACGAAATTGATGACAATTGTCCTCCCAGATTCGATTTATTACATCAAAAGCAAAGCATTCGCAAGAACTAGCATAAAATCATTCGATCTACCAAAGAATATTTCTGTTATCCACAAATATGTATTTTGTGGCTGCAAATCAATTACTTCTGCAGATCTTTCGAATCATCCAACGAATTGCATCAGCGAAGGCCTTTACTGCAACTGTACATGTCTCGAACATATTGTTTTACCCAAGAAATGCTATTGGATTGGTCCTTATTCCTTCTACAACACGAAAATAAAATCAATTTCCCTTCCGAAAGAATGCCATAGCGTTGGCGAATACAGTTTTGGAGAATGCAGGGAACTCGCTAGTGCTGATTTCGGACAAACAATGATCGAAAACTTGACAAATGGTTTGTTTTTCAATTGTTCTAAGTTAATCACCTTCAAATACCCTAAAGTCATACGATCAATTGGTTCTTATGCACTATACAATACGAAATTTACGGATATTGGCCCACTAAAGTACTTAGAAAGTTTAGATTCAAATTCATTTACTAATTCAAAGATACAAAATGTAAATATGATTAATGCAACAATATTAACTCTTCCTTCGAAGCTGTTTTACAATAATAAGAATATAATCAGTATAAATATCTCAAATAAGACAAAATACATCGGAAGTTACGCATTTTCAGGAACATTACTGACGACAATATACATACCACCAAATATTACAGAGTTTGGTGAAGGAGCTCTCAGTTTTTGCCCTAAATTGACTCATATGTTATTAAATGTCACGAGATTGTTAGAACTACCTAAAAATATGTTCGAGAATTGCTTCAACTTGTCATTTGTCAGGGTTCCAAGGTATTTGAACACTTTGGGAGACGGATGTTTCAAAAATTGTATAAATCTTGAATGCGTTTATGGATCTAGACGATTGAAAATAATTGGTCAGAGGTCATTTTATAACTGCACATCAATTAGAGAAGTAGATTTCTCAAAAACAGAGATTTCGTATATTGATGAGTCCGCTTTCGCTTTTTGTTCGAATCTGACGAGATTTGTTATGTCCACATACACTTTGGGAACTGGTCCTCTCGCTTTTGCTAATACAGGACTCAAATCTTTTGAATTTTTCCATAATATCGGAACAAAGTGCTTGTTTAACTGCACAGACCTTGAATTTGTTAATATGAGTAGCAGTACAATAACAATTCTCAATTCCGAACTATTTGGAAACTGTAAAAACTTGAAATCAGTTCATTTACCAAAATTAGTGATATTTATTGGTAAATCTGTTTTCAGAAATTGTCCAAATCTCCACACAGTGTACTACAATGGAACACAACCTCTTGATTTGAGCAAATTGCCAAAGAACTGCAAAGTTCTTCCTCCTCCAATTTTGAATATGACAAACACAACTTCTAATAGCCTTGTTAATGTTAGTAAAATATAATATTGTTTTGTTCAAGAATCTCTTTAATTTTTTTCATATTTTTGTTCTTATCTCAATATTTCACATAAATTATCAACTCATTATGTGATTTCATGTGATAAGATAAGTAAGTCTCACTTAATTAGACAAAAGACTTCTGTATTTCACTGAATTACATCTGAAAAATCATTTACGTATCGTTTCAATAAAGTTTTTTGTCTTATTTGTCGTATCTCTAAGCTATGTTCTTTTATTTCAATATAAATCTCTCTTTATTTATAAAATTTAGCCTTCCAGAAAGCTAACTTTCCTAATGAAATATGGCAAAAGTACTTCGGATTCCCAGTTAAACGATACACACATATTGAAACCAATGAAAAACCTGCAATTTCTCAAAATTACTTTCTTTACGCTTCGAATTTCATTAATTTTACCGACAACATTATTAACTGCAGTATTAATTCTATTAAACTACTACATTCGATACGTACTTATACAAATATTTCCCAAAATAAAGGAGATGGCGGCTGTATCTACTTTAATTGCAACAGTTCAATTGTCCAAGATCGATTCTGTTCCATTAAATGCTACACACCAAACAATGGAAAGTATTCATTTACATCTGTTCAAGAAAAAACAAATAAAAATTTCGTTAATTTAGGCTCTCTCTATCAATGCGGTCATGACAAAACAGGGAAGTCTGCTATATATCATTGCAATGGGGAGCAATGTCTTAAATCGACGAATAATTCTTTTTCTGTGTGTCATGACAACGCGGGTTATTATTTTGAATCTAGCCCAGTGATTGTCAACTTTTGTTGTTTCATTTCTAATGATATCACTGAAGCCAGCTGTGTTTGCATGATGCATAAGAATACTCCAGATTCATTTGTTAAAAGATCGATCTTCAAAAATAATACCTGTGTTAATCATAATTTATATAGAGGTCTTATATCCTCCGTTGAATTATCAGTCGTTACTGTCTCTGAATGCATTTTTTTGAAAAATGTCGCAGAAAATACTTTCGGTGCATATCAAGGCGGGATTATTACTATAATAAACTGCACTGGAGATGATTTATCTGTAAGCAGCTCTAATGCAACAGTCTATTCTGATAAAATTAGTTCATCATCGTTTAACTTTACTCTTCATCTTCTTTCGTTAGGTAAATGTGAGGCAGATTACCCTGTTTCAGTAGACCTTGTGTTATTTCCTTCTTTAAATATGAAAGGTCGTAAAAATGAAGAAAATTGTGCTTTCAATTTATCATTGGAATGTATTATGAACTTAGAAAACTCATAAATAGCAAATATTGTTATTTTATCTATCTTTCAATTCTATTTTTTGGTTTTTCTCAAAATTATCCAAATTCTTTCTCAATTTACAACATTTTAATGGATGTTTTTGTAATAATTGGGCATTGTAATGGATAGATAACTTACTCTCAATCTTTAAAGTGATCTTTTCGTTGTATTTTGTCTCCATCAATATATAACTTTGTTTCTATTATGAGAAAATCCGAAATAAATACAAACTTAATAATAGAAAGAGATAGACAAACATTTTACGAAGAAATAATTGTAAGCAAAAAAAATAATTCTTATAAGGAATTAATTTGTAATGTAATAGTAAAATTAGCAGCAGCCTGAGCTGTTATTTGAACCTTCGACTGGAATTGTTTCTGTTGTAGCGTTATATTTCTTTGAAGGAATTGTTTGGATAATATCGTTGAATAACTCCTGTACACCAGCTCCTGTGAGTGCAGAAACAAAGAATATGCGTAAGTGGTTCTGCTCAGCAAATTCAATTGCTTCAGCTCGTTCATAATCTGGTTGTAAATCGATTTTATTGCCAACGAGGAATAAAGTGCAGTTTGCAGGCAGTCCTTGCTTCAACTGTTCCAACCATTGAGGAAGAGACTTAAAACTCTGGTCATCATTGACGTCAAACACGATAACAGCAGCAGTAGCGCTTCTTGAGTACATAGGAACTAAACTTTTGTATCTCTCTTGGCCAGCTGTATCCCATATGTTCAGTGTTGCTGCTCCAAAACTTGTCGTGACCTGTTTTGTGACAAATGCAACGCCAACAGTGCTTTGAAATTCACTTGTAAACAAATTATGTTGATATCTCATGATTACACTTGTCTTTCCAACGCTTGCATCACCGACAAAAATAATTTTGAACTCAGGGATTCTATTGGTGATATTCATCTGTCACTTTTGATCCAATTCACTTACCTTTGCCATTATACACTGTGAAAGGTACATTCATGAAAAGTGACACCCCTCTTCTTTTTTCCTAGGGTTACTGATCGCTTTCTTTCTGCTCGCCATGCCAGAAACGAAAGAAATGATTGATGCAGAATAATTTATTACTCCAATTGGCAACTATCTTGTAATATACAATTAGTTGCATTGTCAGTTATTCTCCAGCATTATTCAATTTAAGTTCAACTTCTTTAATTTAAATCATACTGCAGCTATACCCTCGCGTTGAGATAAGAACAAGATTACACATGCTAAAATCCCACATTAAAAATCGAAATTTTTCAACTCCAAAATGCAACGACAGAATTCCTCGTAATTTTGGTTTTTTACTTACCTTATGATACATATTCAAATGACTTGAATATAGAAAAAGTTACTAAGATTTGAGGAAATTATTGCAATAAGAAATTAAAAATCGGTTTTATTATATAAGTTACTTATGAATTAAAATTACCTCTATAATTAGTGTACAGTGCCTCACATAATCTTTGGATATTTCTGATTTCAAATTTATACATTTTGATTGGAATATTCATAACTCAAATCTAGATGATAGTTACTACATTTATGCGAATACAGTACGTATCCATTCATCTATTTACTTGTTGTTGTTGAAATAAAAACGTTATTATTTTACTATCTTAAAATAAGAATTTTGTTATAGTATTAATATTTTCATCAACAATGATGACATTATATCAACTCCTAAATGACATTTTATCAAATATGATATCAAAATCAAAAATTAGGTGTTTTTTATGAGTAAAAACGTGTTAATTTGACGATTTGGCTAATTATACAATACTTTTATTTTCTAAATTTTTTTTGTAATTGATTTTTTCAAGAGAAAAATCAGATTTTTGATTTTCATTTTTGAATTTTTGAATTTTTTTTGGAATTTTGAATTGATCAATTAAGCAGAATGAGTTATGGGAATGCTTTATACATCTCACAATGTGATGAATTAAAGACGAATCTTAAAAAATTATTTAAAATCACAAATATCATCCTTATTCTCATTTGTTTCAAAAAAGATAGTACTAAGTATTGATAAACCATGATCAATATTAGTAAAATACTTGAATAAAAAATGTAAAAGTTGAGTTTTTATTCATTTTTATATTAGATTTAAACGAAAACCTGTTTCATATTAATATCCTAGTCGAGAGATGAGATTTTATTCGTATTTGTTAGCATTCAGTAGACATTCTAATCTTGAATTTTAAATCTTACTTAAAATTATTAATAAATGTGAGGTTTTGCTTCGATTTCTGATTAATTTGATTAAATTGTCTCGACACGCATCTTGAATAATATCGTTTCTTAAGGAACTCCAAGATTTTCAAGAGACTTCTTGCGATTTTTGATAAAAGATAAGAACTCTCATTTACGAAAAAAGGTTTATTGAATATAAAATATTTCTGTAATGACTCATTTTCATTATACTATTTTCAGTCAAATCCTCAAAAGTTAAAATTCAAATCTCTTATTTAGCTGAGAAACTGGATACTACATAATGGATCATATTCATGTAAGCTGGAAATGGTATAGTTACATTCAAAAGCTCCAATAATACTTCAATTTAAAATACAGAATATGAATATTGATTTTTACTTCTATTTGAAATTACATTTGATATATAAATCATAATTTGATGATTAATTGATAAAAATTAGGGAAATTAAAATATAATTCACAAATCTTTTTATTATCTTAATAACTTTTCAAAATAAGATCATATTATTCATATTTGGAGCCTACTGATTCTAAATATCCTATTTATTTGAAAATCTATCGTTGGGAAGTCTCGTGCATGTACCTTTACACTGTGAATGGGAAATAGATAGAGCAATCATTGCTGATTTAAAAGTTTAAATAATATGAAGATTTCAATTTTGGGAAACCGATCTTTCACGACTATCATGGAAGCTTCTGAATGAGGTCAGTCACGGTATTATTTTTTCATCGGAAAAGTATGATATCTTTCAGATAATCGCTCAGATTAGCTTTATTGAGTATATTTATTTTTCAATTTTCGGTTTTAGGCTTCTTAATGGAAGAATAATAGCAAGTATCTAATTATAATAAAAATGATAGATAAAATATTTTCGAAAAATTCCAAAAATATTTCAAAAATCTAAAAATGAATAAAAATATTGAGATTTTTCAAATTATTTTTTCATTATCATTTTTTTCTTGGAGGGAAAGATGAGTAAAAATCTCACTTTAACAAGACTCACGCTCCAAGGATTATCAAATTCACCTATGTTTTCGTCCTCGCAACTCAACAGTTATACGATTTCTACATTTTCTCATCTTCAAATTTCGAAATCTTTATCAAATTTCATCTATTCGCAAAATTCTAACATGAAATTGCAAATATCGAACTCCAAATTTTCTAAATTTATCGATACATGCATTGCTCTTGATCAAACTTCTCGATTTTTAGGAGAACATTTTAATAGAAATGGTGTCTCAATTAGCCAGGACTCTGCATTTCTCAGAGATTGCGTATTTAGAAATAACAAGAACCAATTACGTAATGGCACGGCAATTCATACAACAAAACCGATAAAATTACTTAATTGTTTATTTGCCCAAAATCAAGGATCTTTTGGTGGCGCAATTTTCACCACTTCAGAAATAGAAGCCCATTTTTGCACTTTCTTTGATAATTCTGCTCAAGAACAAGCTGCAGCCATTTCAATTCGTGCAGCAAAAGCAATTACGAATATTACCGATACTATTTTCAACAAAAACAAAGCGAACCTTTTCGGAACAATTTACAGAACTAGCGACCAACCTTTTGATTTTCTACGGAATAATGTCACTAAATCACATGCTACAGCATGCGTAGGATCCATGGAAACAGAAAAAGGTAAGACCATGATCAAATATGTGATATTTGCTGAGAACAAAGCTGATATTCATAACGGATGTTTAGTTGTTCGTGATCCTTTATCTATAGAAGTATTCAATACCATATTCTACAAGAATTCCCATCAGAGTTCAGAGAATGTTGTTGCTTCTTGTATACTTATTTACACTGTTCCTGTTATTGGCAAGATTTCAGATTGTTTGTTTGCAAAGAACGATAGATCTAACAGTTATACGATAAGAGCTTACTACGGATCGCCTTTAGCAATCTTGAAAACCCAAATTGATGAAGAAATTTCAAAAGCAGTGAAAGGAGATCCAAATCCAAAGGTTGTTCATTTCACATTCAATTCAGACATCGATATTGACTTGAAATGGTCTGTTTCTGAACAAAAAGAAATGTTTGGATACCAAGATTTTAGAAAGATGGATGATTCTTCTTTATACACGAAAGAGAACATCATTAAGGTATTTCTAGCAGGAATGATATTTGCTGTAACATTTTCTTTCATTTTGGTCAAATTATTTGGCTTATTATTCATAGGAAGCAAAATTGACTGATTATATATCTATGGTTCATGAAAATGTTCTCATCTGATGCTTAATACAAAGAAAAATAGTTTCAAAAAGAAATTATTTATCATAGTAAAGAAAAAAAAGAAATTTAGTGATGCAACTCTGATGGAAGAGCCATGAATTCCTTAGAGAAAGCATCGAAGCAGTTACGGAAGGCCTTAGCAGCATCCTTCTCAGCATCAGCACGAATAACCTTCTTTTCAGCTGCAGTCTTCTTAGCACTCTCACCTGTGAATGTGAGTTCGTACTCCCAATCGTCAATTGAATCTATAGCATCATTAGAAACGTCCATGAATTTAATCTTGCCTTCCATGCCGTTATGCTTGAACTTGCAGTCGAAGGTGAATTCGAATGATCTGATTTCACGGTTCTTACGAATAGAGCGGCTAGCTTCGATGCCAGAGAAAGAAATGTCTGTAAACTCCCAGCCGTCGACCTTTACGTTGGAGGCGAGCTCTTGTAAGCGCTGTGTGGCCCACTTGTTGCAGTTATGTTCTTCCCAATGATAGTTTTCAACGTTCCAAGTACTCATTGAAGATAAGTGGCTGAACAATCACATGTCACTTTTTTATGTATTCGAATGAAAAGTGAACTAAAAATATTTGTCTGGTTACTTATCTCACTGAAATCATGTAAAACATGCCTCTCGGGATGCATGTATCATATGCAGCAAAATTTTCCATGATTTTTTCTCAAATTTCTGCATCCGCAGATTGAATGGAGAAAAATTTTGTGTCGATTTCGTAATGCTTGTTAGTAAAACTTACTGTTCTTAACAGAGATTTTTTGAAATTCCGATCATTTATTAATGGCCGGTTAAAAATATCCAACATGTTCGATGAGATATAAGTATCTATTATATACGCATCTTGCATATCAGAAATTTCCTATCCACATTCGCATATTATGCGAAATCAAATGGAGCAAAAAATTTGAATCAAGGTAACATTGATTTCCAGCAATAAAAGCTCATAGATATTCGGATATATTAATATTAGACCTTCATTTTTACTATTAATCATGAATATAAAGAGATATCGAGAATAAGTCACGATAAGTGGGATGGAACCACTAGAAATTTAATTGGAAAACGTATCTAATGAAACATCTATATTGATATGCTAACACAAATAAGTTTATCTTAAATTTTGTTTAAATATTTAGACATAAATTAATAAATTATAAGGCTAATATAAAAAATAAGTTTATTCTATTACAGTTTGTTCTTCAGTTCTTGCAGCAAAATGAACCTCTCCGAGATAAAAGTCATCTCGTGGATTTATCATGCGAAGAACCATTGGAGCACCGTTTAATGGTCTGAACTTTGGTGCTGCAGCAATAGCCATCTTGTGGCTTTCCACAGTCTTTCTGAATTTCGGAAATTCTTGTAATTCCTTCAATTGGAACTCGAGAACCAGTTTCCTATCACCTGAATCAAGTTTCTGTTTGAGCGCCACTCCTTCTGGGAAGTTTGTCAACTTCGATTCAATTTTTTCAAATTTAATAAAACGTTTTGCGTATGAAGTATCAAATTCCGCAAGTTCAGTTGTAATTTGGATGGCCAGTGAACTGATCTGCATGAAAGTCTCTTGGAACTTCTCATTTTTCGCAATTGCCTCTAAATCAATGGAAAAGTTCATTTTCATGAAGACATCAACGAAGAATTCCGATTGGCAAATGAACAGCATCATCTTCAAAGCATGGATGAGTATCAAAGGTGAAACATTTGCAAATCCTTCGATAATCTTGCCAATTTTCTTTACAATTGGTAGATAATTATCAGCATCGACTGTATCATAGATTTTCCGGAACTTTGCAGGCGCATGAGGTATAATTGTTATCTCATAACTGCATAATACGGAAAGAATGTCGAAACTGAAGTGCGCGAGCTCCTGGTGCTCCATCATGATCGATGTAGAGAGAATGGAGTAACAAATTACGATGAATTTGTTGATATCCTTCTCATGTAAAAATGAAGTTTTCACATTCGGACAAGAAAAGAGTCTTGTGAGGTTTGAGAAGATCCTCAATAATTTTCTTTCCTTGTCCGGGGTTTTAATAAACGATTTGAAGGCCTTATCAACGCTTGTAAACAAATCAATCGAAATGAAGTTGCATTTTCCAACAGGAGTGTGATTTACGAGCTTTATGAGTAAGTCACATCCAAGGCTGGATATGTATGGGCTCTCAGACTTGAATAATTTCAAATTCCAAGGAATAATTTTGTCAAAAATGTCTGTAAACTGATCCAGAGAGCTGTCAATGGAATAATCCAATGTATCATATAGCAAGAGTAACAATGCGAACCTTAATGAAGGAAATTCGTACGTACAAAGCAAAATAGCGTAATGGAAAAATTGGGTACGGATTCCTTTGATCAATGAAGCGATTTTCATCCTTTCTACATAATTAGAAGCTGATAAACTGGTATAAGATTTGGCTTCTGTGATAATTGGCTCAGATGTAACTGCAATTGTGTCATAAATCATCAAAACAAGCTTTGCATCGAATCCCAATGATACATTCTGTGATTTAGCAACTGTCTTTGCAAAGAGAGTGAGGTAACAAGTGCAAAGATGGCAAATTACAGGAATTGTCCGAAAATCTTTGAAAATTGTTCCGTTTTTGAGCAAATTAATGATGTATTGGTCCAAGAAACTATACAAATTTTCGGATTTGGCGATGCAATAGACCTCATAGATGCTTTTTCCTAAGATACATTCTAATGATCTCGTAATTGAGACGATATCGGCTTGGGAACTGAAATTTGGCTTGGTCATGCAGCAGATCTGCTTAATAGATTTACGAAGAAGGACGTTGTTCGATCCTGCGAACTTTTCCGAAAGAATTTCACCAAGATTTAAATTTTGTTCAAGCTTAATTGGGGTTTCTGTGTAGTTATCTCGCATCATGTTGATATAAAGAATGGCCGCGTTGTCGTCTTTTTTAATAATTTTGAGGAAAAGGTCAACTTTCGGTTTGAATTTGCTAAATTTCGTCATTGTGTATAAAGAACGAGCAACAGCGTGCTGGCCGACTTGGTTCTTGGTGCAAATAGCTCGAAGGCATGAAATGTAAAGGTCATTTTCTGGATTATTTGGAGATAATTTGTAAAAGTAGGCAAAAGAGAACATTAGAGCGATGATATTTTCAGCAACCATGTTGGACTGGACTTTTTCAGGGTAATTAATGAAAAAGTCGTGGCCTGGGTAGACTTGGCGCTTAAAATCAGAATTTTGAGCGAAATATTCACATAATTTCGCCCATTCTGTATTGCGTAGTGCTAGTGGATAATATGCTGCGATTGATCCTAAAATTACTGGAAGATAAACTTGACATTCGATTTTTTCAATGAGATTTATATTTTCGCGACCGAAAACTTCTCTGCAGGCCTTAAAAATTTGGGGCACTAACATATTGCATATAATAGGAATGATTGAATCGCAATAATTTGAATCATAAATCTTATGTAACGAAGTAGTAATTGTTTTCAGGCAGGTTGAGATTGTCGCATCTAGGGAAATTTGTTTTTCAAGATGAAATATGGTAGTTCTGATATTTAATGCTTGAATAAAAATTGATTTTCTGTTAAACTTTTTTAATGTATTTAAAATTCGACCTAATGATTCATTGTTTAATTGCTCGATTGGAACTCTCAAAAGAAATGGTAAAATTAAAAGTTGAAGTTGTTCTAAGTAATCAGTGTTTGAATTGCCCAAAGAATTAAGGAATCCATCAAGTTTTGAAATGTCTAATTCAGCTATTGTAGCTTTTTCGAATGAAACCAATTCATCTGATGCAGTAAAGATTAATTTTGCCGCCTTTTCAGCTCTGATTCTTTCAACAGATATATTTATAGTAAATAAGTCGCTAAATATCTTTTTGAGACTGTATTGACCAACACCAACTTTAATTGGTAAATCTTGGGGAGTTACTGAAGAAAACATCTCAATAGTCTTGAGACGAGACAATTCTGCATTTAATTGTTCGCTTAGATCTATTTCTGGGAATGGAATAGTTAAAAAATCCCTAAATCCACCCATCTAAACGTTTTGAATATCAGTTATAAAAAAACATTTTATCGGCGTGCAGCACATTTGATACGGGCTATCAAGATCTTAAAATTGTATTCTCTGAGAACATATTCCATAGAATAAGCTAGTTAGAACTTTATAAATATTGGTCCCTATTTATTGCTACTAAGTGTTGGACTTCTTCTTCGAGGCTACGTTCTCAATTTTTCAATTAACTAATTGAAATTTCCAGCCAAATTCTTTCATATTCTTGAATAATATATGATTACATTTACGAAGAAATATACTCTTACATTGTCAGAAAATGTATCCACTGTAAACATCACAATTTAATTAAAACCAAAAAGAGAACAGCACCTATCGATTATCTATACAGTTGAATTGATTATTGCTACTAAAAACCACCAGGCCACCTATTCTCCTCAAGCTTACCTAAAATAATAACGAAAAATCATTAAATAGCAACAATATGCTGGGTTGCTTGTTTTAAATCATTTCATTCGTTCATAATTCGTTAACGTGCAGATTAGTAGATATATGATATTGCAAATCCTTCAATTTATATCAAGAATTCAGAAATTAAAACTTACCGAGAAAAAAGAGATTACGAATTGTTACATTACTTGCATGCAGACAAGAACATCAAGATGAGAATGATAGTTTTCATAGCAATTCTGATTCCTCTCAACAAGGAGTTTCTAAAAGAAATTTCCGAAGCAAGAAATTAATTGAACCCAATCAACTCTTAGCAAAAACAATTAGTTAATGACTTCCAAACCGAACAAGACATTATATGAACAATTACAGACAGTTCTTCCCAAATTACATTTTATGATGTATCAATTCATTGAATATCGAAAGAAATAGTATGCACATTACCTGACCTTAATTTTAAGATATAACATTTCAATAGAAGAATTAGAATTAAAGCAATTTCCATACAAATAATGTGACAAACAGTTTTTTTGACAATTTTATGAAATGATTTTAATTCACAATTTTGCTGAATTAAAGAGAAAGTCAACTGAACAAGATAACGATCCCTGGAATTACTACTTCAATACTGAATTTATCAGTTTCAAAACTGAACATTGTCAAAATTGCAATTTGAATTCAGCAAATGGTCAATATTACTTAGATGAATGTAACTTTTTTGATGATAATGACCGAGTTATCAACTTTAGTCCTGTTTTCAACACTTTATTTCTACATAATCGTTGTTCTTTTAGTCATTGCACTTCAACAAAAGATGGAAGTTGCGTATACTACCAAGTTGGCGCCAACAGTGCAATTGTTCAACGTAAGTTCTGTTGTACGAAATGCCAAAGCTCTCAAAGAGGCCAATTTTCATATACAAAAGTTGGCACAGATAACTTAAACTTTTTTATTGAAAGTTCCCTTTTCGATGTAGGAAATGAAAGTGTTGGTGAAAAAACAATTCATGCATTAGATGGTAATATCATAGTTTCATCAACAAATTTTTCATCAAATAAAGCTACGAAATATTCTGCTGGATATATTTATAAATCTTCAGAGAATAACTTTATAACAACATTTAATTATTCAACTGTTGTTAATAATTTAGGAACAGGTGAATATGATCATATATATTTTAATTATAACTCTTTGATTGATTCATGTAATATTATAACTAATACTAAAATAAAGTCAGAATTTGGAATTATTTTCCATATATATAATTCTCTTACTGTAAAAAGTTGTTCTTTTATTAACAACACTGCTGCTCAAGGTACATATTTGATAGTTAACCTTAATGATCAATTAACAGTTGATAGTTGTTACATTGACAATTCGATTTCAACAACATTTCTTAGTATTGTAGAACCTACTAATCCAAGAGGATTATTTACTGGTAATTGCCATGCAGAATTTGCAATTATCAATATAAGTAAATCATTTGAATACTTCTCTCCCAGAATCTATCGTCGTCGTTGATTAATTTTGATATTTTATTCTTATTTATGAATAAAGTACTTACACCCATTTGACACATAATTCAATAATGTTGTTTAATGCCAATTTTCAAAGATGTCTCAACATTATTACAATATTCCGTCAAAAAGAAGACTTCTAATTACATATCTCTATCTCTATTGAAAGATGAATAAAATCAGTTCTTCGTCAAAATGTAAATTAGAAACCCTGAAGTATTTATAGACTTATTTAAATGTTTTTCTAACAAAGAAAATTAAATCATTGTCCTTGTCATGAATTCATATGATGAGTCCTACATATTTTATATAATGAATTCGTTTAATCATAACAAACATTTAGATCAACAAGAGAACCGAAATTATCAATTATTTATCCATTTTGATTGATCATTTTTACTAAAAATCGCCAGACAGCTTATTACAGATAGTAATTCATTGTATTTAGGAGATTCTCGACAAACTTACACGAAATCATTAAAATATAAATCAAACAATTATCTGCGAAATTGTAGATCATTTCATTTGCTCAAGATTCGTTATTGCTCTATCTAATATTTCAAATCCTTCAATTTGTGCCAATAATTCAGAGATAAAACAAAGGTTTCCATTTTGATTCTTTACTTGCATTCAGCCAAGAACACCAAGATGAAGATGTTAGTTTTCATAGCAATTCTGATTCATCTGAACACGATAAGGTTCCAAAAGAAATTTTTTTATTATATTATTTATGTTTCAATAAAATAACTTTTAAATTTTCTATATTTCCACCTTAGTCAGCATTATTATTAGTCAACATTACATCTAAAGGCAGATGTTCATTTAAGATAGATCTAATTTCATATCTCATTTAAAAGATGAATAAAACCAGTTCTTAGTCAAGATTTAAATTAGAAACACTAATGCTATTATAATATTCATATTCCAAATTGCTCATAGGTGTAAGTATGTTCTGAACACATGGGAATTCCGAAAGAAATGACTGAAGCCAAAAATCAACAAATATCGATTTTAGAACAGGGAATGGCATTTGATGAATAATTATTGATGGAAATAGAATGTAAAGTGCTTGTTATTAAATTTGCATTCAAATAAAAAAATTTCCATTATTCAAAAAGTGACAACGCTTTTTTGACAGTTCACATTTCGGAAATTCAATTCCTAATTTTTGTTTATTTAAAGAGAAAGTCATCTGAAGAAGATGACGACACCTGGAAATTCTACTTTGGTAAACAAGTTACAGGTACAAAGATTGACAAATGCCAGAAGTTTAATGGTGATAATGGTCAATATTACTTAGAAGAATGTAATTTTTACAAAGAAGATGGCCCAGTTATCCAATTTAAAGATATTAAAGACACATTATTCCTGCATAATCTGTGTTCTTTTAGTAATTGCAATTCAACAATTACTGGAAGTTGCATTTACTACCGACCTAACACCAACAGTGCAATTGTTCAACGAAAGTTTTGTTGTACAAAGTGCCAAAGTGAAGAAGGAGCACATTTTTCATATACAAAAGTTGGCACAGATAACTTAAACTTTTTTATTGAAAGTTCCCTTTTCGATGTAGGAAATGAAAGTGTTGGTGAAAAAACAATTCATGCATTAGATGGTAATATCATAGTTTCATCAACAAATTTTTCATCAAATAAAGCTACGAAATATTCTGCTGGATATTTATAAATCTTTAGAGAATGACTTTATAACAACATTTAATTATTCAACTGTTGTTAATAATTTAGGAACAAGTGAGACAGCTTCAGTATTATATATTCGCTATAATTCTTTGATTGATTCATGCAATATTATAAATAATACTAATAGACAATCAACAATTGGAATTATTTACCATTATAAAAATTCTCTTACTGTAAAAAGTTGTTCTTTTATTAACAACACTATTCTTGAAGGTTCGTGTTTGATATATAACACTCAAGATCAATTAACAGTTGATAGTTGTTACATTGACAATTCGATTTCATCAACATTTAATGTAAATGTAACACATTCTAATCCAAGAGAACTATTTACTAACAATTTGATTCATTTTTCAACTGATATTTGCCAAGAAGAATTTGCAAATATCAAATCAGTAGGTAAAACTAAATCTGTTGAATATTTCACTAACAGAATCAAGTATCGCCGTTGATTTAATTTGTTATGTTTTTGTTTCAATAAAAGATTTTTTTGAAGAGCCATCCTTAACATTAAAAATGTCAAACATACACGAAACATCACTAAAAAGCCATTTTTTAGGATTAAGGCTGCACTTACGCCCATCTGACTTTAATTCATATTTTTGACAACAGGAGTGATGCATCATTGAAAATTAACCCTAAACGTCTGAATTGAAGGCCATGCCATAGAGGCGTAAGTGCACCCTTAAAAAATGCTGTTCGACATTAAAAGTTCAATATTCGACATTTTTGGGTCGCTTCTCTCCCCTGACAAAACTTCGGAAAAGTGTAACATTTGCAAAATATCATTTTGCAGGTTCCTAAATTATGCTTTTATTTAGATAAGTAATCAAATCAGATGATTGCCGAATTAGATTTTTTCTCCAAAACACATGAATTTTGGGTTTTACACTGGGCGCAAAATAAAATAAAATAATAATAATAAAAAACGCATCCCAAAGCTCTCAAAATTTGAGAGGATTGAGAGACTTATTGATTCGTCTGTTTTGTAAAGCCTCTATTTATATGAAGAAAAGTGCAAATTAAAAAAGATTGGCAATCTCTGAATATCAAGTATAGAATTTGACTTTGATTTTTTTTTAAAAAAGTAATGAAATATAAAACAAATCTAATGTTAATATTCATATTCACATGGTTTATTAAACTACTAAAGAATAAATATCAATTAAATACAAAAAAATTAATGTAACATGTTAAGTTTCTCTATACACATCTCTGCGTTTGCTCTGATGACAGCAACATCGCAGACCAACAAATTATCAATCATCTCTCGAAGCTTTTGCGCGATTTCGATAGGAGGTTTCTCGACAAGAAGAGCTGTCGCAGTCCTCAATGCACTCTGTCGAAGAGGAGTAGTACCAACTTCGAGCATATCACCTAAATCATTAAGATAGTTATCACACGCCCATTCCCATCCTAATACTTTAGTGCAGTCGACAAAGAAGTTTCCTGCAGCGCATCGAACTGCGAAAACTGATGAATTAAGGAATGGCTTGACTTTCTGTGCAAGTGCAGGTGCGTAATTAGTGAGGTTTTTCGCCATGGCCAATGTAGATAAAACAGGGATTGCCTTGACGAGCAGTGTAGGTCTGTCCTCGTTATCAAGGAGTGTGTTCACAGCTCTGTCGATAGTTTCAAGACTGAGAGTGCCTGCAGGAAGCAGAGGAACGACGTGCAGAAGCATTTTATGAAGAAATCCAAATACTGCAACTGTTCCAAGTAACTGAAGTGATCTGCAGAGTCGAGCTTGAAATGGAGCATTTGGATGTGATGATAGAAGTGATCCCCATAGTCTGATAGCGGAATCACGAACTGTTTCACTAGGATTGCGCATGCATTGCTCGAAGATGTTTGGTGCTTCATCAAGTGTTTCAGCTGAAAGCTTTTTAGTAACTTTTGATAAAGTGTTCAACGCAGATGTTCTTACTTCTGGAACTGAGTCCTTGCACAGGGAAAGAAGTGCAAGACCAAGACGCTCCTTCTGTACTGAGTATTCGATGAGAGGAGCAACTGTTCGTGCAAATGAATAACGGACACACCAAGATTCGTCCTCTGAAAGACGTATTAGTGGAGAAACGTCTGTGTAGATTGACATATATTTGTCTGGTACTGTTGAAATCGCTGAGATAATTCGACATCGAAGCTTAGGATCCGGGTGTCTGAAATTTGGATAAACTAAGCTTTCTATGATCATTTTTTCGTCTGTTGCAATAGATAAAAAGTGTTGTAATGAGCTTAATAATATTATATTGAGAATTGTCGACGGATTTTTGCTGATTCGAATTAAATTTTCGATAATATTTTGCTTTTTTTCTTGTGGCGACATAATTGCGAGTCTTGCTTGTAAGCATAGCGAGATTGCAACAGCTTCTACGTTATCTTGGAATAAAATTCTTTCGAGAGATGGAATAAAAATCGAATCAAATACTTCTGGCTGGTAGATTGTCATTAAATACTCAATTAATACGTTGGCCTCTTTTTCTATGAAAAGACCATTCTGTCGGATAAGTTCGTTAATTAAATATAAGTAATCTAATAACTCTGTTTCAGGAGTCCCTGGCTGAATAAGCCGTGGAATGCATTTAAAGAGAGCCTTAGCTACACGAAGGTTTCCAAAATCAAACCAATTCATGATAAAGGGGAGAATTTGTTTTGATACTTGTTCATGTGGAACTTCTACAAGAAAAAGAGGCAGTGCTTCAATAAATCGCTCCTGGCTTCCCTCTTTCTTGTAAACCACATCTTCAATTAGACCAGGTAGGTCATTTTGTCCAAAAAAAGCACTGCTCATCTAATGAGAATAAAATTTTTTTTGATTGTTACTGACCCACAAAGAGATTTCAAGAATATAAATACTAAAAGATATTTGCAGCAATTATTAAATTTTTTAACAAAATAAAAAAATCAATTCAAAGCGAGTAGGGGTAATTTTAGCTAAAAGTGACACGCTTGTAAAAAGCGACACACCCGTGAAGGGTGTGTTTACCGATCGGTAATTTCGACAGTTTAGAATTTAAAATTTTTTATGGAACTGTTGCGAGTTTCATAAAGAATTTAAGGAATATAAGCAAAGATTTGAATCAAAATCTTCGAACTAAGCCGATCGCTTCGCTCGCGGCTTTCTTTATTATTTTAAATTTGCATATTTCCATCAAAAGTTCATAAGGTAAAAAATTTCGTTTATTTTTACTAAGAAAAAAAAAGGTTTTTGATAATAAATTTATTTTATTTCGAAAAAGTAGCAATAATCGTAAAAGGGTATTGATAGGCTTGCTAAAGTAACTAATTTTAGCTGTCAAATACTTTTGTATTTTGAAGTAAATTAGTATAAATTTGTTTTTACTTTTATTTCGAAAAAGTAGCAATAATCGTAAAAGGGTATTGATAGGCTTGCTAAAGTAACTAATTTTAGCTGTCAAATACTTTTGTATTTTGAAGTAAATTAGTATAAATTTGTTTTTACTTTTATTTCGAAAAAGTAGCAATAATCGTAAAAGGGTATTGATAGGCTTGCTAAAGTAACTAATTTTAGCTGTCAAATACTTTTGTATTTTGAAGTAAATTAGTATAAATTTGTTTTTACTTTTATTTCGAAAAAGTAGCAATAATCGTAAAAGGGTATTGATAGGCTTGCTAAAGTAACTAATTTTAGCTGTCAAATACTTTTGTATTTTGAAGTAAATTAGTATAAATTTGATATTATTTTAACTCCCTTTGAAAACCTCAATTTTCCATACAGAGGGAACGGGAATAGCATCCAATATTCCCTGAGAATGGTTGCGCATTCTCAGTTCCCTCTATATTTCGAACGAAGCTCTCATCGGTCTTTTTTTTAATACTAAACGTTTTTTTTTCCTGTCACTTTTAGCTAAAATTTGGGTTTGCCTTTTGTCACATCACTTTTGATTTTACATGGCAGAAATTCCTTTACACTTCACTAGTAATAAGAGTAAATTTAAGAACTCAAATGTATAAATATCATATAATCTGCTTAAATGTGATGATTTTTCACTTAATGGACGTTAATTCTTGATGTCTTTTCCGATTCTTCAATTTTTCTCCAAGCAAATGAGAATGCATTGTTATTATCTTTTGAACACTCTCCTTTCCCGAAAGCTTATTTCGAAACATTTTGTTTTGATCGGAGAATACAAATTTCCGATTTGTGGATAATTCGAATGTAAGAGTTAGTTAAAATACAATAAATAACATAATATTTTATACATGTTGAATTAAAAACAAAAATACAAATATATCATTGAAATATTATCAATTTGTAGCGAAAAGCATATAATTATCTTGCTTTTCAGAAATACCTTTTGCAGTCTGTGAGTTACTGCATCTAATTAAAGGGCGGTGAGTGTTATGCTGCTTCAAAATAACTCCAAGTTTACTTCTCGTAGAAAGAGAAGCTAAAATCGGTTTGGACGGATTCAGTATCGGTCTGGCCGATGTTTTTCCATGTTTCCAGTAGATATCAATGAAATCACATGAAGGAAGGAAAATTGTTGTTTCTCGAGTGATGTAACCTAGCGGATCTAGCGAAATAGGCTTCATATCATTCTGATCTACAAACAGAACAGCGGCTTTGTTACCAGTTGTCCCACAATAATTCGATGATGAAAAAACTGTAATTAATTTGCCTCCGAAATGTACTTGGTATCCATCCATAACACATTCATGACCTCTTAGAACGCATGATATATGATTGTTGTTAATAAAATTCAAAAAAGGTGTCTGGCCAAACAAAAATCCAGTTTTTCTACGCGAGGGACAAAAGTGATCTTCATTTTTGTTTGGATCGGACCATAATAACCCTGTTAACACAGGATCGTTATTATATTCAACTATTGGTCGTTTAAATTGATATAATTGGTCTAATGAAACGAAATCCGGAGAGATTCCGCCATGTATGCATAAAACTTTGTCGAACAATTTAGCGGCAAGTGGCATTGAAGAAAAACTATTAATGATTGTTTCGTAAAGTCTAGTTCTAGGGTAGTGGGTCTCTAATTCTGTTGAAAAAACGTGTGATGAATTGAAATTGGAAAAGAATTCGTGATTACCTCGAATCATGTATACGTTTTTTGGATAAAGAAACTTAAAAGCATAAATATATAGTACTACTTCGAGAGAAAACTCGCCTCGGTCTATGTAATCGCCTAGAAATATGTAATTTTGTTTTGGTGGAAATCCATAATTTCGATAAATTCGTAAAAGGTCAAGCAAATGGCCATGAAGGTCACCTACAACTAGTATTGGCATGTTGATATCAAGTACGATCGGTTCAGATTGGAAAATTTTGTCAACTTCTTTACAAATGTTTTCGATTTCTATAAGAGGGAAGTGTGATAAAACGAATTTTTCTTTTCCTTGGATTACACTATCTATATTTTCTGTTAATATAGCTTCAATTGTCCTAACAATCCCTACACATTGATAATAAGTCTCATTCATTTTAAAATTTTGTAAGTGTAAACATTTCAAAAAATAATGACGCGCATCGACATAATTTCAATAGATACAATTGGTAACTCTAAAAACAAAGAAAAAAACATTCGAAGGAAATTTGAATGTAAACTCTAAGCAACTAATTATTTTTCATGTTTCATAAGCAATATGACTGCTCGTTAGGATTTTAATATTAAATTTCTTTTTGGAATTTGTTAATCTGGATTCCTTATCATGGATTTGATCAATTTTTGACAATATTAATGCGCAATCAATGTGAGAAAGGTGACTCAGATATTACTATCTTTTTTCAAATTGGGTTAGTGATTATTAATGCTGAATATGTATAACAATTTTTTGATTGGCAATTAAATTATAAAGTACGTATTCATAAACTCATTTTGAAATAGAAGCCTATTTGTGATTATAAATTTATAAGATAGGAAGTTTGTATTACAAAATTATATTATCACAAATTTGATTATTGTGAATACATATATAAAATAGATGCATCAAGGAAAGTAATGTATGATTTTGATCCTTGCATTCATAAATGGCTTTATAATAATGAATTCAAGGAAATACTGAAGGATTAGATGATTAATTTTGAGTTATAAGAGATTTCAATTATGTATTTTGCATATATTCATTCAGTATAACCATTTTTAAAAGCGATGACTCTTAGTTCATCATTGTTGAAGATTGAATTTTTGATCAACACGCTTTTTTTATTACATATGAATTTTTAAGAGCTTATCCATTAGATATACCTAATACAAACTACGAATATCAGGAATTTGAATCAATGGGCATGAAATGAATTTGAAAATGGTTTCTCAGGTGTATTTTCAGACCAATTGCTATTGAATATTAGCTCGGATCAATAACGATTATTTGAGATATGGAAAAATAAGATTTCAAACTATAGCATTTTTATTGAATTTGACATCGTTCAAAGAGGTAGGGCAACGATAGAAAATTTTTGGAAAAAAAGTTCGGAGATCTTAAACGTATCATATTCCCTGCATGGTTTGGTATCTTCCGCCATGCGTTGTGCCAAACATATTGGCACTTTCCAATAATTAATTTATGGTATGAGTCACAGAGTTAGATTATAAAAAGAAAGTAAATAATTGCAATTAGAAATCATATATGTCGGAAATCAAATGTTGATGAGCAGAAACCTTTTACTCATCATAAAAGAGATAAATCACTAAAGATTTGTATACATTAAAATTTGATATTTGGTGCTCGAAAACTGTCTGATGGGACTCCTCCAAAATGAACCAATCTATCGCTGATGGCCAAATTAGATGATGTGGATGGTGTATTCTCTAATTCTAACTTAGGAAGAATGGGAACAAAACGAATGACGACAACAACATGTCAAACATAGATTAAATATCTATGAATCAATAAAGTATACGTGCATTGAAGGTGATAACGATCACTTGAGGCTTATAACTCTTTGACTAAATTATGCAATAATTAAATATAATCATTTTTATATTTTTATACTGATAGTAATTAATATACTATCCTGCTTAATAAATGGTATGATCAAATTTGTTTGAAAATTTAATTATGTATATGAAACTATGTCTTCTATATAAAAATCAAAATTTTCGGACGAACCTAGATTGAAGCTTTATGAAAATCTATCATTTTTGTTAATTGAGTTAATATGAATCTTTTACATATGTATATATAGCATTGATAGCTTATATAATCATGGTTTATTCCATATTAACATATTTTTTCAGTTAAATTTGTTAATATATCATGTAACAAATTAATTCAAGATTAGAATGTCTACAAAATGCTAACAAATAAGAAAAAATACGATTTCTCGACTTAAAATTTTAATATGGAGTAGTTTTTCGTTTAAATCTAATTAAAAATGAATAAAAACTTATCTTGTACTATTTTCATTCAAAGATTTTAATAATGTAAATCATGCATTTTCATAATTCAGTACAGTTCTTTTTAGAATTAAAGTTGATGAGGATGATATTTGTGATTTAAAATAATTTGTTAATGTTCACCTTTTATTCATCACCTTGTGGTATGCCCTAAAGCAATAGCATTATCAATTCTGCTGAATTGATCAACTCAAAATTCCAAAAAAATTCAAAATTTCAAAAATGAAATTAAACAATTTGAATTTTCACATGAAAAATCAATTTCGAAAAAAATTTGGAAAATCAAAGTATTTGATAATTAGTCAAATAAACAATTTACATCGTTTTTACTCATAAAAAACAACTAATTTTTGATTTTGATATCATATTTGATAAATACTCATTCCAGAGTTGACGTAATGTATTAATTATTGTTAGAGATATTGCTTTCGCAGCAAAATTCTTATTTCATGAAAGAAAAAAAATGATTTTATTCCAAACAAAAACAAGTAAACAGATGAATGGAAACGTACTATATTTTCATAAATGTAGTAATCAGCGTGTCGGCTTTTGTTTATCATGTTCGAGTCAAAATGTATTAACTTGTAATAAGAAATATTCGAAGATTATATGAAGTATTGAGCATTCTTTGTAGAAATATTTGTAATTCATTACTAACATATATAATAAAGTTGTTTTTTTTTCCTTATTGCAATAATTTTGTCTGATTTTAATAACTTTTCATGTATACGAGTTGTGTGAATATGCATCATAATATGCGTAAATATACTTATTTGCGACGAATAATGTGGTTGCATAATGGAGGTGCTAAATTTTGATTTTTAATATGGGGCTTTGGTATGTATAATCATGTTCTTATCTCAACGTAGGAGTATTGGTGCAATATGATTAAAATTTACGAGGTTGATCTTAAATTGAATAATTCTGGAGTATAAATCACAATGCAGCTAATTCTATGTTAAAGATAGATACAGATTGTAGTAATCAATTAGGGAGTACAAATTCATTCTTTCATTTCTGTCGTATTGAGCAGAAAGGAAGAGATCATAACCCTAGGAAAAAAAGCCCAAATTTGTCACTTTTCATAGTACGTTAAACTCAATTCGCTCGGCGAATGCCGAGCACACGTACTCATCATTCAACATAATATTCTCATTCTTTGGTTATTATAGTGCCAGACAACACAAGATTTCAAAGAATTACTTGAGTTTTCAATTAATCTTAATCCGATTTTAGATTTATCGAGAACTCCATCATCACAATCACATACTTCAGTGCGGTAACTACAATTATCCATATACAGAAGGAAGTTCTTTTCGAACAACTCATTTGGAGTCTGTTTTGGAAAGAACTTCTTTCTGTCCGACTTAATTTCATAGTTCCTGATCAACCAAAAGACAGAACCACACACTATCTACTTAGGAAAGGAGTTCTTTCTAAATCTTCCTTAAATTGAGATTTTACGAGAGATAACCCTTCTATTGCACTTAAAAATGAACATTTTGATATCTTTAGTATCACACATGGTCATATATAGTATTTCATCTACATGAATACATTCATCTTTCGAAGTCTCTCATTAAATGGGAGGCTTCGAAAGATGAATCGTTTTATTCATACAACTTTAAATCTCGAACACATTTAGAGAGTGAGTATATCATTTTATTCTTGTTTTGAGTTTATTCTGATTCAAAATTGCAGTGAAAACAGAAGTTCACACATCATATCTGAATGTGAGCTCATCTATACTTATACGATCTCAATACCTCCACTCTAAGCATAAGAGGTGAAGTTATATAAAAATTATCAGATGCGTTGAAGTCTCAAAAGTATTGCCTGAATGCTTGTTTCATATTTGTCCAAGTAGTTTCAATGAATAAATGTATTGTTTTTTATAATTTCGATTTATTTTTAGAAAATATTCAATATAACCTTTATTGTGTTATTTACATCTCATAAATTCTCTGTCTAAATCATATAAAAGCGCGTTTTACCCCTATGAATCAAGAAATTCATTCAATATTCATGGTATATTTATTAAATTTATACGATTTACTAATAATCAATATTATATCCTCATAAATAGCAATATATTTTGGTAATCTATGATAATCATATACAATATTTGAAATCAAATTTTCATTAGTTTAGGTTCCTTGTTAATAGTAAACCATTATATTTATTACTAATAATAAAATCTATGTGTCGTATTGAAATTCAATAAAATTACTTATTCGGTCCAAAAAAACAAATTAGATAAAATTTTTCTTTTTTTATGTAATTTTTGTTTTTCATTTTTCTCAAGATCCTAAGTTATGTTCTAACTTTTGACATCATATCCTATCATGCTAGGCTATATATTATAGCATATCCAAAAGGCAAGGAAATCTATCAGAGAAGCCTTTTTGACCTATCGTTGCCTTACCTCTTCGTTCAATTTTTTGAAAATTTAAAGAAATTACTAACTTTCATTGACGTATATAGTCTATTACAACAACATGTCAAAATCAATTCAATTCAATATTTTGACAATACGGAAGAACATGCTTACAATACAATAAAATTTAGGATTTACCAATTAAAATTTCCGCTGAAATTAAAATGTGACATTGTTCAATCTAATAAAAACGTAAAAATTTTTATTGCTGTCTATATCTTTATCATTTTGATCTTTTGATAAGATTTTATTATATTCAAAAATTCAATTCGCAAATTGATTTAAAACCGCTTTCAAGTGGATGTCTGGTTATATTATCATAAAAAATATTAAAACCAATCTGATTTCACAGATTAAATTCTTCCACCGTTGATAACAAAAAATTTTTCTCAAATGTAAATCTCTCAAAAATTGAATTGTTTTACTGTAAACGTGACGAAGTTTCTTTGAGTCTATCGACTTTTTCAATATCTTTACCTGTTAGAATTTTAATGCTTGTTGACGTTCCTTATTTCAACATCCTTGTCGAGGGAGACCAAAACAAATATCTTGAACTTAGGAAATCCCTTACATCCGAGAATATGCGTTATCAGAGAAATCGTAGAGTGGATACTTTTGATACAATTTTAGAAAAGATTCACGAATTTTGCATTCGTGGTGATGAAGACGACTGGAAGCGCTGCATGGTCTGTGGCGTCTGCTGGCTTAACGGCTTGCTTGCTATTAACGTCAAGCAGTTGGAAATTCTTACAGATAAATCAAAGTCCAACATTAACGGTGTCCTCGCCAAACTGGGATATTCTCAAGCTCAGAATGGTGTCCATAAGAAGCAGCTTATTGATGCTTTACCTTTCCTCAAAGGTAATTATCTTGAACAGCGCTTTTGGACCATCAGAGTTCGACCAAGCTACTGCCACAGTCCAGAATCATCATCAGGATCCGAGATGGCATCAAGCCCTGAGATTCAGTACAGTAAAACACCTCAGCCTACTTATCATTTCGATCTTATTGAGCCTCCATGCTCACGAGACCTTAAGAATCTTTTCAATGTCATTGACATGAAGATCTTCGACGGAATGGTTTGCGGCGAATCCCCTAATGAAATAGACTTTTTCGCGGATCCAACATGCTGCTGCCCAGCCGAGTGGATTAACCCAATGACACCAGCACAGACATTACTTAGCTTTGCTTAATTGTTATTTTTATATTTAATCTTTTTTTTATTACTTTAAACTCCTTAACCATGGTTTAATTTTTGCAAATTCCCTAGACACAATGTTTTAATTTCATAGAGTGATTGTTCGTTCTCATAGTATTCAATGAAGCCTTGAGATTATTCGATTCAGATTTTAATCATTTAAGGCATTCAAAATCATTACGTCTAATTGCGAGCGTACTCATGTTAATATTGTTTTGCATTGACATTTTCAATTTTGGATCAATAATAAATTCATGATGAATTTCGGAATATTTCGATTGATTTTACTTCAGAAAACAAACAAAAATATTCATAAAAGCACAAATATGTTATGAAATTAAGTTCGGATTAAAATGCATTTGGCACACGATCCTTTTTCATCATAGATGTTCAATTTTTGCCCTGAATCTCTGCTACAAAATTCATGGCTTTGTGACCCTTGATGACATTTCTTGCTTTCAAGCTCAATAAATAACATTATAAAAAAATCTGATGCAAATCGATACTAATAGTTATACTTTTATCTGTGTTTCTACTAGTACAACCTTAACCCACAACACTTCAAGGCATATCTAAGAATATTATTGGATGCTGCATGAAAGTTTTCAATCATGTTTTTCTTTGCGTATGAAATATTGCTACTATAGTAAATCTTTTAGTTAATTGATAATCTGAGAAATCTCAAGTTTCTTCATGGCTCAGAGATGATTTTCGCTGATTCCGCATAAAATTTTATAAATTTGGACCCTCTCATAGATTATTTTAAGAAAATCTGATTTACCATAGAATGTAGATCAATTTCGCTCGAAATCTTCAAAACGCTGGGGGAGTTTCCAAAATCATAAGAAATCGTTATAAAATACTATGTCCTACGAACCGAGGCTTCGCACGTCCACGGGGCCAAGGCGCAGTAAGATTACCCCTCTTCAATCAGGAAATCACTCAAAATCAGTAAAAGGTCTCCCACCAATCGATAATGAAAACACGCCAACGTTAAAGCAGGCTTTTAAAGGAGTTATAGATGCAGTTTCAATATTTCTGACTCATAATAGTGAGACTGTATCATTTCACAGTTCTCTTTCCAAGCAAATCACCGAAATCGATGGATTATTTGGTGAATTCCATGCAAATTTAAGTCGAACTACAAATTCAAAAAGGCAATCACAATCATCGACAAATACGCCTGCTAAATCACTTGTTTCTGCTGCTCTTCCCTTTTTCAGATCATTCGAAGCACTAAAATCAATAATTTCTCAAATAAGTTCTACGGGAACGAAATCAATTGAGGAAACAGTCGAAGCAAGTTTCTCATGTATTAACGAAACACTCAACTATGTTCGTATAAAATCCGATGATTGCGGCTCAATTGATCCAATAATTAAAAGATTACAAACAATGTCGATGATTCTTAGTCCTATTAAAACATCTGTAATACAAATACTAAGAAAACAAGAATCCCCTGAAAGCCAAGGCCGTCTTACAACAGAATTAAGAAATTATTCAAGAACAATTAATTCTGCATTCAGAAACGAGTTTTCGACATTACAAATAAATGCAAATGAAGTAGAAGCCCTTAGATTGAAAGCTTACAATGCCTGCAGTGATATTATTTACGGAATGAAATCAATTTTATTATTTGAAGAAGATATCAGCAGAGTTCTCAAATATATACAAGACTTTGAACAAGTACTTGAGAAAGAAGCCAAAAGAAATGGTTTGTATCACTATTTAGGCCCTCAAAAACCAGAAAATCAAGAAACAGTTTTAGAATTCAATATTTCTAAATATCCAGATCTTTCTGACCTCCTCAGACGATTATGTGCTTATATAAGAGATGGAGGTGAAGATAAAAAGTTTATTGTCCAAGTTTTGGAAATTTCATCAGCAAAAGCTGTTTTATTTGAAGAAGAAGATATAGAAAGCATGAAAAAGAGAATTGTAGACTTAGAAAAATCAATTACTCAAATGAAAGCTAAAGAAAAAACTTCAAATTTGAATAATGATTTTTCAAATAAGCTGAGATCAACAGTTATGCAATCTATTGACATGATGAAAATGAAGGCCAATCAAATGGATGTACACGTAATAGATGATAATGAAATAATTCCTACATTTAATAATTTATTAAATCAAATTTTGGAAGAACAACCAAAGAAAGTCGAAATGCCGAAGGACACAGAGTTCGAGAAAGAGATAATGAACTTGTTCGCCGCAAAATCTCATAGGGAAGTCATAGAAAAAGTTCATAAAATTCAACATAGAAACGAATATTTGGAGTCAGAATATGAAAAATTTTCAAATGCGCAGACTCAAAAACTTCGGGATAGAATCTGCTTGTTATCACAATCACTTGGAGTCCAAGTTTCCGATTCGGATGTCGAAACAATTGATAAAATTTCGGATTACGTCGAAAGGCAAAAAGAAGATCACCAAAAGATTGCTAATCTATTCCAAATAGATGGAGAATTGATATACAATGGCGTTGAGTCGATTTATTCAAGTTATAAATCAATTTTAACAAAAGCTGAGCAAAAGCTCAAAGATTACTTGAATATGACACCAGAATGTGATAGCCTAACGCAATCTGTATCAAATATGCTTGACAAACTTGATTCTGTTGACAAATCAACATCTTATAAGACATTAAATCAAGTTTACTCAAGTCTTTTACCACTTGCAGGTATACATAATGCACCAACAATATTACATGCTGGAAAGAACTATATATCTCAGTTTGAAATGCTTATTGAAGCGATATCTCAAAAAATTAGTCCAAATCAGAATAGTAAACTAACTTCTGCCGTTAAGCAATTGCACCAAAAGATAGGAAACGCATCAAATCAGATCAATACAGAGTCTGACGGCGAACTTATTGATCTTATTGAAGAAAGCCTCAAGAATTTTGATATAATAGTAGAAAAATTAAGAAATTCTATAACAGACGGTTTTGTTCGTAAAACATTCAAAGCCAAAGAATCAGAAGAGCCGCTCAGTATTTTAATGGATCGTGCCGCGCGTCTAGAAATTCTCGAATCATCGCTAGTAACTGTTAGGCCGTTAACTGAAATCCTTGAAAGAAGCCTCGGAACTCTCGAAATCGGAAGCGATAAATGGTTCACAACATTAAGGGAAAATGTTGTTGAAATGAACAATGCTCTCAATAACATTGCTTCTTCCAAGATAAATTCCACAATATTTTTATTACTTTCCCGATTCATATCTTTATTATCTTCAATTGTTCCTGTAATTAGTCCAACTAATTCAAGAAAGCATCTTTAATAAATTTGTTTGTATTTGTTCTTATACATTCTCTTTTTTTTGCTTAATGCTTTATTTTTTGAGCGTAAAATGTGTTTGTAATAGACCATGGTTTGAAAAATCAGGGTTACCTTCTATAAAAAGTTGTCTTTATATGGATTACTTACAGAGTTTTATTTAATAAAATATTTTGTAATAAAAAGGTTAAAAATACATGTGTTATATGAATAAAAAAGTTATGCAGTCTGTTCACGGAAGTTCAACTCGCGTGCATCTTGGCATATTCCGCATGGCAAACAGAAAGTAAATATTAAGCAATCATGTCCCTCATCGGGTTCGAAATTATATCTAATTCTGAGTAATCTGCGTGTCCAAAATGGTGAAGGGCAGCATAATCCATAAACTGGTCTGTAGTCCTCGTTTAACATTCTTGCCATATTCTTTCCAGAAAGAATGCATGGGCAAAAACAGCCAAGAACGCAAACTGATGAGTCTGCGAAACAATTTAATAACGTTGTGTTGTAATCGTTCGACATTTTTAAACAAGTAAAATTTGTCACTTTTCTATAGCATACAAAAATTTATCACCGCAATAGAAAAAAAAATTCATAAATATCCCCAAGCAACATCCTTACCTTTTTTTGAATTTTTGCTGGAGTCGATTTTCCCTATAAAAATTTTATTGCTTTACTTATGAGGAGTATAATTGCATTGACTTGCAATCAGATTAACAAAATATGTGAGTTTCTGCTTAAAAAGACATTTTTTAATAATAATTTTTGTGATGAATTATGGATATGCTGCAAACAATTGGCTAAACTGGTCGAATGTAAGAGTTTCGAGCTTTTCATCATAGAATGCGAATATAGCATCAACAAATTCCGCCGGCTCGAATGGAAGATTTGTATCATGGAAAATTCTGCATAAAGCAGATACTCTAAGTTCTGTATTTGATGCATTTGGTGGGTTTCTTGCAAGGGCAGAATTCCATCTTGATGCCATTGAAGCACCAAACTTTGTTCTGAGAATACCCATGAATTTAAGGAGTATGAAGTTCTGTTTTTCTGTTAATTTTTCACCGTATTTGATTCCATTCTCATAGTCTGCAAAGTCATCATTAAGGAACTCTGTCCACTGAGAAAGAGAAATAAATGGATCGTTAACACCATAAGGAGCAAAAATATCAGCTAAGTGATCAGTATCTATTTCTGGTTTTTCGCAATATTCTGCAACAGTTCTAAATGTGATGACTGGAGCTTGTTCATTAACTACTTTATCAAAAATTTCTTTTGGTTTGGCACCAGGGAATGCTTTTGTGATTTCAACACGAAGAATTTTTCTTTCTTTAGTGATCTTTGGTGTGAACATGATACTAAATTCTAAATTTCTTAACGTACAACAAAACTCACATCAAAATCTAAGCATGCAAATATGACAGTCAAGGCATCTTATTGAGTGCCTCATCTTCATATTAGTCTAACTCATTCATTTTATGAAGAATTTTGATAATGTTTTGCATTCAGAATGAAAAGCCTTTACTTATGATGTTTCTATAAATACTAGACAAGCTGAATTTAAACAATCAGTGATTAGTAATATAAAAATTTTATTTTCAATGATATAAAAAAAACAAATAAATAAAAATCACTCTGGATACTTCAAACCAGAGTGTTCTAAAGTAGACTTCATGTAATCACGAAGTGCGTGCATTGTAGGTAAAGAAAAGTTTGTAATATCGACATCTAAAGTTTGGAGTCCTGTATCTATCTCTGGCTGGTGTTCATTGATAATCTTTATCATATCTCTCTGACATTCTTCATTTGGTAGCATTTGATAAGCTTTAATAAAATTGACCATTTCATTTTCAGTAAATAGTGTATTATTTTGCTTGTTTTGCTTTTGATTTAGCTGGTTGTTAAGATGCTGCTTGATTTTGTTCGGTGCTGATTGAATAACATCAGATAACTTCTTCTTCAAAGAATAAGTTTCATTACACCAAGAACTAAGTGTAAAAAGATTGTCCTTTCGGCATAATGATAAGAATATGCGACGACTCTCTGAAGCCAATACAGAAATTGGAGATCCTGGCTCATTATAAGTCTCTGCGTTCTTCCAAACGAGCTCAACATCAGTGAAAAATTCTTTAAATGATGAATATTTCTTATCTTCGACTTTCTGTTTGATTGTTCCGAGGTCGATCGGATTTTTGATGATTTCGAAGTAATTTGCTGGTGCATCTTCACCAGTAGGCACAGGTATATGAAAAGGCCGTGTTACTGGGTGGTTCATCAGATTCTCAAGAATAGTTGAAACTCTCTTTTGCATGGAATCTTCCATATTTTTTTGAGTCATTTATAAAATTTTAAAATTTCTTTAATTTTTTCACCCGAAAAATTTAATAATTTTGAGTAACTCACAAAACATAATCAGAATCAATCAAATTTAAATAAGCCATTTATATGTATTTTACTTACTTATTATTAATGTATGATTAAATCCCTTGATTTTTAAATTTTTATTCTGATAATTTTTCACTATGGTTTTTCTTTAATGATTTTTAAATCTTCTATGAATGTAAGTATGAGATACTAGTTAATTCATTAGGATTTGCTGAATGAAGAATTTTTTTTGCCACTTTCAAAATTCCAAAAAAATCTTCGATGGATAAACGACTAAAAGTCATGTATTAGAATTTAGTGGCAACGTAAATGTAGTTATCCCATCCGATCTAATTAAGTCCGAGTATGTTAATTTTACCATCTCTGAAAGATTCCAAAAAATTCCCCAATTTTGTTTCATAGATTTTAACAATCTTGAAAACATTGCGTTCCCTACTTCATTAATTTCGATAGAAGATGAGGCATTTGGCGATTGTCCAATCAAAAAAATAATTATCCCTAAAAATGTCCAATATATTAGCATCTGGAACCCATTTGATCGACTTCTTAAGCTAGAAGAATATGAAGTTGATCCAAAAAATATTTTTTTTTAAATCTGTTGACGGGATTCTTTATACACAAGATTTGAAAGTACTAAGGCGCTTTCATTCTAGGAAAAATGTAACAGAATTTACATTTCCATCTGGTTTACAGACTATATCATACTTTTCATGCACGTATCAAAATTTTGTGAAACATTTGATCTTTCCTGATACAGTGAAGACTATTTTATCACATGCTTTTACAAACATAAAATCTCTTGAGTATATGACAGCATTTAGAAACTATCGACAGAAAGAGATTGAGATTGATCCAACTGCTTTCGAAGGAGCTCCAATTCAAGGATCATCTGTGAATTACGTGTACTCGTCTCTCAAACCAATTACATGTCATGCACAATTTTGTTTTACATTTCAAAACATTCTTTCGTTTATTGTTATTTCTTTATTGTAAGAATAAAAAGTATCCTAATTAGTATTGAAGAATCGCTTTATCAATTTGATTTGAAACACTTTTTTTAATATATTCTATATCTACACAATTTATTTCATGCAGATTGATATTACTCTTGTTCCCTTTAAATTATAACTATTCTCAATTGCCTTTTCAATAGGCTCAATTTTTGAAATTGAAAAATTGTAGTTATTCAATTTCATTTTGCTCATATACTATATAATATATTGTCTTGGTCAATTGCAACTAAATAATGCAATTAATTATTGAATATTTGGAATTAATTACTTCGTATTATTTATTCTTTTTAATGTTTAGTAAAGCTTGTAAAAGAAGAGGAAGTTTTTTAACTTTAGAAATACTTTTATTGATAATTGCAGATTCTGGACGGCAAATATCAGTTGAAAAATGAGTCAAATTGTTAATAAATAATTGTCTTGTATTAGTAGATACATCATTTCTAAATGTTGTTGAAATCGAATTGTCAATGTAACAACTATCAACTGTTAATTGATCTTGAGTGTTATATATCAAACACGAACCTTCAAGAATAGTGTTGTTAGTAAAAGAACAACTTTTTACAGTAATAGAATTAGCTTGATGGTAAATAATTCCAATTGTTGATTGTCTATTAGTATTATTTATAATATTACATGAATCAATCAAAGAATTATAGCGAATATATAATACTGAAGCTTCACTACCTGTTCCTAAATTATTAACAAGAGTTGAATAATTAAATGTTGTTATAAAGTCATTCTCTAAAGATTTATAAAAATATCCAGCAGAATATTTCGTAGCTTTATTTGATGAAAAATTTGTTGATGAAGCTATGATATTACCATAACTTGCATGAATTGTTTTTTCACCAACACTTTCATTTCCTACATCGAAAAGGGAACTTTCAATAAAAAAGTTTAAGTTATCTGATCCAACATTTGTATATGAAAAATGTGCTCCTTCTTCACTTTGGCACTTTGTACAACAAAACTTTCGTTGAACAATTGCACTGTTGGTGTTAGGTCGGTAGTAAATGCAACTTCCAGTAATTGTTGAATTGCAATTACTAAAAGAACACAGATTATGCAGGAATAATGTGTCTTTAATATCTTTAAATTGGATAACTGGGCCATCTTCTTTGTAAAAATTACATTCTTCTAAGTAATATTGACCTTTAGAAGAAATTGATATCGTGTATTTCTGGCATTTGTCAGTCTTTGTACTTGTGGATGCAGTTTTGAAATAGTAATTCCAGGGATCGTCATCTTCTTCAGACGACTTATTCCCTGAATTACATAAATTGTCAAGTAATCGTTTGCTATTTAATTTTGATATAAAATACGAATATCCACAAATTAATTATTTCAGTGCATCTCTGCTTTTATCCCAGATTCCGTTCACTACTTTAATTGCACTTCAAATGCAGAGTGAATCTAATATCACAAAAGAAGCTATTCGACTCTTACGGGCATGAATACAAATTAGCTATTTGTACACATATTCTTATATTCATATAAGGAGCTTAATTTATGAATTCTGGGTTCTAACTCCATTCTGAAAAATAATATATAATTTTGAAACCTCAAAAATATGATTATTCATAAATTTTTAAGTACGATAATATCCACATAGGTATAAAATTGTATTTTCACAAACCATCGATGTCTAAAATCTTTTAGTGTTCTAGGAAATCACGAAAAATTTTTCTTCACACAATTTTTTTCTTAATGTTTTTCATAAATCGAAAATCTTCATCATCAAGAGGGTGAATCATTATCCTTAAAAATTTAAGTATTGTAAACTTCTCAATTGTCTACGATAAGTGGCAAAAAGTGAGGGTTTTCATACGCTATATAACTAAAATTAAAACAAATTTTCATTAAAAAGTTATATTATTCACTTTAAGGTTCTGACACTTATCGTAAAAACGTATTCATCCAATAATTCAGTTACAATAAAAAAGGTACATTCACTATTTTTGACAAAATTTTAAATTTTCATGGGGTTGTAAATCTTATAATAACTAGATGAATAAGGAATAAATCCCAGTATGATGTGCATCATTATATTAAACACTATATGTAAGGCTAATGATTCTATTAACACTTATGAAGATCTATAGTATTTGAGCAGATAAATTTGATAATTTCCAAAACTCTTATATTTCAAAATTAAAGTGTGCGAATGCATTTAAATGAGAGCAAAAAGAGATTGATGCTGTTAAAACTAGGTGTTAATTTGCAATTATTTCGCATCACAAGAACTACCCAGTAAATTCGGCTATCTTTCTTTGCAATTATTTTCTATTTTACATATATTATAATGGTTAGGGTTTGAAGAAAAGTTACTAGAGAATTATTGATTTTTGAAATAATGCAGAATTTTACTTGAAGAAATCATTAATTTATGAGCTCCAAATTGCTAACCATGACGAAGAATCATTAAATTTGCTACAATTAAATACATTTATTGCCGAATTAAGATTATTGAAATTAAAAGTTTGAAATATTGCCTTTTTGAATAAAAATTTAAATTTGATTATATAATCATGATAATATATTATTGAAATTAAAAGAAAATATTTTAAACCATTCAAATATTTTGAATGTCTTATCAATTTAAAATATTAAAAGATAGCTTGATTTTATCATCATTAGTTGTTATCAAAGTTTTCTTCTTTTGATGAACAACAGTAAATGATTTGTTAATACATTGTCTTCCTTTTACGCAGCAAAATCAAAAAGTTATGATGATAATCTTGTACTCAATTTTGAAACTCTCTGATTTACAAGTAAGCATTCCTTTGGAAAAGCAGTCCTATTCTGTTTTCAAGATATTTTAAAGCCCCTATTTCATACAATGTGCAGATCTATTCGAAATTGCAAGAACTCTCAAGAAAAAATGCAGCAGCAAAGAAGATTCCAAAGTTTCTAGCATCAAAAATTTACAACCTTAATACAACAGTTAAAGAGAAGCTCGATAAGAAAATATTTAACCATAAAGCTGGATACCATTCGATATCTACTATTGGATATAATAAAAAGTTAATTGTAACATATTTTACATGCTATTTGCTGACTCTGTTCCATTATATTACCATATATATCTTTTTGAAATCTAAAAAAATTTTACGATTTTAACCATGTGTTGTTGAAATCATATATCAATCTTAGCTAAAGTATAGTTTATGAGTCTGTCACCAACTAATGTATGAATTTTCAAAAATGTCAAATATGTTCATTTTTTCTGTATATTCAGCCATAATTTCACGTAGTTATACTATTCAACTATTATTTAATATTTTTATCGATTTAAATATATGATAAGATGCTTAGTTCTCCCGGAAAACAATTTTTAATCACAATTTTAACTTTCCAAAAAAAATTCGAAAATAAAAATTCCTCTCAATTTTCTAAATTTTCTAACTAGCCAAATCTCTAGCCAAATTTTTTTGGCCTGTATAAATATTGTTAGGCACTATATAGGGATGCTATTTATCCTATTTTCATCCCATTTTACTGTTATCGCCTAGTGAATGTACCTTTCAATAAAATAATGAATATAAGATCTATATCCGAATGAGTAATGAAATCTATCCTTTATTCAAATTTTTTGTTTTCCGTCTAAGTCGAATAGCTTCTATCACAAATATAATTATCTCAAAAAATATTCAACATTTTTGCTGGTTTTTAATAGTTCACATCCCCTTCTTTAATGAGCTCACAGATTTTCACCATCCGATTAATGCAAATTATGAATAGACAAATTGTACAAAACTGTACAATTTAGAGTAACACAGTAAGCGAGGGCAAGTATAATATTTTTATGTGTTACCATCACTCTAAATAGTCTATGATCAAATTAATGCCTATTGCAATATGTTTATAATCTATAGTATAGATCTTTTTAGGCCGCACTTAAGCCCATATGACTTTAATTCAAAATCCTGACAACTGGGGTGAAGCGTCATTGAAAATCAACCTTAAACATCTGAATTGATGGCCATGCCATAGGGGGGGATGCACCATTAAGAGTACACTTACGCCCATCTGACATTCTCTAACGTTTTGTAAATTCAATTTTCTGAGATAAAAAGTCAATATTTTTAGTCGGGAAAAAGCTGACACAAAGAATATCTACAATACTTTTTTCCCAATCAAAATAAAGAATATCTGCAATTCAATGATTTCATGAAATATCAGATAGTGGTAAGATTAAAAATAATAAATTTTCGCCAATATGTAGTCGAAGTTTTAATAAATGATATTTCTATTTAGTCAACATATTAAGTTCCCAAAAGAAAGGCATGCATGCCTGCGACACTTTTTTCGGGGGACTGTATAACTTCTTTGACAGCTTTTTCCTGCCATCGCCTTTAAGGGTACACTTATCGCTTTCTGAAATCTTCACAATTTTTTAACATTTATTCTTTTTACACGAATTTTCAAATGTAAAAAGTTAATAATTTTGGGCGGGAAAAAGTCATTATAAATCACTATACAGTATTTTATATTACTTAGCTCAATAAAAGTGGTAACAGTATTTAACAAACATCTAGTAAAGAATAAAATAAATGAAAAAGTAATAATAAATAAAAAGGTATTTTATTTTAAGACAGGGTTTTAAATGAAAAAATAAATTAGTTTGATTTCTTTCTGTTCATTTGTTCCAAAAGTTCGTGTTCTCTTATAACTCTTGTGTAAGATGGTGCCCACATTCCCTTCAAGTACTTGATCATTGCCTCTGGGAAGAGAGAGAAAGAGACAGAGATAACCAACAAAACATAAGAAATGTATGATGTGAAGATTGTCTGCGGAACGAAATACATCAAAGGAACAAATGTAGGGAATGATCCGTATGGAAGATTGACAAGGAAGAAGATGAGGATGGAAACAATGACACCCAAGAACAAAAAGATGTTCCAGTGCTGTGATCTGATGATTGCTTGGATATCAACAACCAAAATAATAGAAATGTACAAAAGAACACCGTTGAAGTTCAAGTCATCGACCAAACCACGTCCATTAAGTGGTTTCATGGATGGAACGTACATGTTGAAGAAGAATAAAATCATTGATTGGTAAATAGCGTTGACAAGCTCTCCAACAAAGCGCCACATGGAAATGAACCTTCCTGAGCGTGCATCTCTGTAGATAAGTGGGTATTTCATCATACTTTGGAAACTGACATCTTGTTCAAAGAATCCGTACTCGCCTGGTGGGAAAATAGTCCACATAAGGTTGTATGTGGCCATAAGCCAGCCGTCGAAGATGGGAGATGGTGTCCAACGTGTGAAATAAAAGAATGGAATATTAACTAATGAGAAAACAAGGTTTTTGTAGACCATGTATCGGACAACACCTGAGATACGAACTAAACTAAGACGTCCGTGAACTGCAAGTAGTCGTTTGAGGTGTTTGAATCGTGTAATTGCGAAATCTGAGTTTTGTGCTGCTTGTCTTCCTTCGCGACCGATAATTCCAACACCAACGTTCGCTGTTTGGATCATGTTGACGTCGTTAGCACCATCACCGATGGCAAGACAGACTTTTTTAGTATTAGAGCGCATGACATCGACAACTTTGGATTTTAAGAATGGAGACATTCTGAAACAGACGACAGATCGACATTGGTCACCCATTTTGACAAGTTCAAGAGGAACTTGTTCTGTAATGTAGATTAATGCATCGGGAGAAAGAACGAGAACGCATGGAGATGTACATTCATCGATTTGTCTTGAGATTGTGGCTGTTTCTGAAGGGTCGCCGGTAAGAATTTCGAAGACTTTGCACTCAGGAGTGATAACATCTGTAGATTTCGCGATACTGACTGCTGTTTCGTGCTTATCACCTGTCAAAACCCATAACTTGATACCCATCATTGAGAGATATGACATTGTTTCTGGGACATTTGGCTGTAATTGGTCTTCAATTGCAACTGCTCCCAACAAAACAAGGTCCTTTTCGATCTTTGCACCAACTTCTTTGACTTTCTTATCTCTGTCTGTCATTGCGAGGTTCGCTTCTCTGTATTCTGCCATGAATTGTTCGAATTCGTCCTTTGGCATCAGTCTCCAAGCATAAATAAGGGTTCTGAGGCCTTGTTCGGCAAAGGCGTCGACTTGCTCTTTCGTAGATTTGATCACAGACTCGTCTTCGTCTTTGGCAATTAGAGGGAACATGATCGTATCGGCACCTTTCGTGTAGATTACGACCTCTCCATTTGGAGCACGTACGACAACGGACATTCTCTTGCGATCCGAGTCAAATTCTATGGTGGCGAGATGCTCAAATTTGGTTTCGGTTCCTCCGAGGTCGATTGTCATCGATTCGTCGGGAACTCTTGCTGTGAGGGTGGCTGTGAGCTCTTTGGCGTAGTTCACAAGGGCTTCTTCGTCGGGAGATTCTGATGAATATCCATCTTCAGTGCAAATAACGGTAGAACAGACAGGAATTGCGGCCAATATCTCAAGAAGATTACGCTCTGTCTTTTTGGAGACAAGCATCTTAACACGTTCTTTATCTGTAACAACATCGTAAATAGAACCTCTCGCGGAGAGTTGTACGAAGCGCATGATGTTCTCTGTCAATGTTCCTGTCTTGTCTGAGAAGATATGGTCGACGGATCCGAGTTCTTCGTTAAGATTTGAGTTATTTGGCTGGCAAAAGCCAAGTCCTGGGTAGTACATACCGAGATCTGTTGAGAAAGTCCATCTCTGGAAGAATCTGACAAACTCGACAGTGACATATAATGAAATTGGAATCATATACGAGAAAATAATCGCAAAAGCTGAAAAGTTCTTCATAACGTTGAGCGCGTTGACTTTCATAGTCTCTATCCAATGGAATTTGTTGGTAATATCCATTCGAGCGGCCATAAAAGTGCAAATTCCAATTAAAATGAAGTTGAAAATGAAGTCTATGAGGATAATGATGTTGAATTTCGATTCTAGACGCGATGTCTTATGAGGTGGATGGCGCTGGTTCTGGATAATACGTGTATCATGGCCTGTATATAAAACAACACCGATTGCCCAAGCAGTATGTGCAAGGAACGTACCCTTGAGGACAACGTTCTTCATTGAGAAGGCGTTTTCCGAGCCTTGGTAAGTAATCGTGCCATTTAATGATCGTAAATCGTTACACGGTGAAGAAATTTTAACACGACTGTTTTCAAATGACTGGATGGTTGATGGTATCTCGAAATTGCTGACGCATTGAATAGCCTTCCTTTGTTTGACAGCTGTTTCACCATTTAAGTTGACTTCGTTGACAAAACAGCTATGATTGTTCTCGGAAGTTTCAATAATGCAGAAATCGGCTGGGTTTTCGCGGTTTCCTTCGAGGCGAATGATATCACCGGGATGGATATTTCGAGATTGAACTAACATAAAGCGTCCTTTACGCCAAACCTCGAATTTAATTGAGTTGTAAAGCTTATCTGTTCTGTATCTAAGCAAATCTTCGAATAAAGCTTTGAGCATTGACACAGCAATGACAAATATAAGTGGTGAAATAGAAACAATTGGTGTAACTGGTGACCATGGTGCTAAAGAGAATAAAGCGATGATTAAAAAGTAGACATTTGCTAAACGTTGGAAGTTTTCGTAAAGAGTAAGTGGAAGAAAAGTTAAAAATGTATATCTTGTAGTTCTAACATAGTTATCAGCTTGAATACCTTCCATGTATTCGCGCTTGCCAATGTTAAACTCTATAAATTCGGGCTTTGGCTGATTATTTCGTCGCCCGAAAGGCATCAAAAAAAATTTTTTTTCTTCTCCTTTTTTTTTATCGGATAAGAAAAAAATTTTTTACGATATCCAACTTTTTTTATGGAGATATTTTGGATATCTTGTGAAACTGCTTGAGCTCTCTTGTATTGACTGTTTCTCTTTTACGAGCATGATTTTCAGATAAATCGAGATTGATTCAAGAATATCGTTCGATTTGGATGAGTCTAGAGATTTAACCACATGGAAAACAACATTGAAGTGATTATACAAAACTCTGTTGATCATATGAGCAAGGTTTATCCGGAAAATTAAATTTTCATAAAATTATTGGCATTAGGAAGTTAATTATCTATAGTCATGCAAAAATAGAATCAGTCAATATAGTTTTTAATGGAATTAAATGATATGAAAAAATAATTTTATATTCTAGCAATAAAAAGAAGATTATTTAGAAAATCTCTATAGTAAACATTTATTACATACAAATACAAGATATATTAGAATGTAGTGAAGACTTGATATTTAATATATGCGATTCCTTCATTTCTGCGAACATAAACATAAAAGACGCTATGGAAATCTTGTAATTTGAATCCAGAAACTTGATATGTTCCAAAAACAATCACAGTTGTTAATAAATCTGTTCTAATTACGGGTTGAACATCATAACCGCTGATTTTGAATGTTACTTGTTCTGGGAGTTTTGAAAATAACTCTTTAATCTGTTGTTGACCGTTGTAATTTTGATTTTCCCACGATAAAACTGCATCTCGTGCATAAAAAACAGGTACATTCTCTCTATCAGTCATAATTGACATGAAATAGTCCATGACAATTTTCTGTGCGACAGCAGCTGAGGCAGTATCTGCTACACTCTCTGTCATATAAAAAGTGACAAAATTATAATCATAGTTATTCAGCCATAAGTTCTCTTATAACAAGGCACTGCAGAGCGCTGCAGGTCATATACTCCCAATATACAGCCTGCAGTGCCTTGTATCGTCGCTAAGTTTTGTTATCATTTCCCAATCAGAGCAAACATAGCGACGAAAGCGAAGGATAACTGCGACTTCGAACAGCAGGATAAGCACCTGCTGTCAGTCGCCGTTATCCTTCGCTTTTTACTATAAAGCTGGGAAACTTTGTCTAAATTCTCAGATATTGAGACAAAGTTTCCCAGCCATCTCGGATGAATTGCTCCTTATGAGGTATATATTCATACTATATACCTCATAAGGAGCAATTCATCCGTTGAAATGAGAAACTAAAGGTTGTGAGGCACTGATTATGTGTCAGTGCCTCACAACCTTTAGTTTCTACTAGATAGCTGGGAAACATTCTTGAAATGATAACAAATTCAAAAAAAGCTTCCCAGCTAACTCGGAGGAATTGCTCCTTATGAGGTATTTATTCATACTATATACCTCATAAGAAGCAATTTATCAAAAATAATAAAATAATATTAGAATAATCCGAACTTCATCATTTTGAAGTTAATTTGGGGAGACGTACTAAATATCAATGAGACGTTTATTATCAGCCAATTAATCAAAAATTGTTTTCAATATTTCATTATAGTCTTTGTTCCTAACGAGGAACAAAGTCAATAATCAGTTGTTCTTTGCTTATTGGTATTTTCTTTTTCATTGATATTTGCCACCATGAGAAATAAGAAGTTCCGTTATTTCTTTACAATATTTAAGTGCTGCAAGATGAAGTGCGGTTTTTCCACCATTATTTTTTTCATTAATATTTGCACCATGCAAAATAAGAATTTCAACTGTTTCTTTGCACTTATAATATACTGCAATATGAAGAGCAGTTTCTCCAAATCTGTCTTTTTCGTTGATATTTGCACCATGTGAAATAAGAACTTCAGCAGTTTCTTTACTATTATTCCGTGCTGCAATATGAAGAGCTGTTTTTCCATTATTATTTTTTTCGTTGATATTTGCACCATGTGAAATAAGAACTTCAGCAGCTTCTTTACTATTATTCCGTGCTGCAATATGCAGGGCGATTTCTCCATCATCATTTTTTTCGTTGATATTTGCACCATGCGATATAAGAAGTTCGGCTATTTCTTTACTATCCTCACTTGCTGCAATATGTAAAGCAGTATCTCTATCATTATTTTTTTAGTTGATATTTGCACCATGTGAAATAAGAAGTTCGGCTATTTCTTTACTTTTATTCCATACTGCTTTATGAATAGCGGTTTCTCCATTTTTATTTTTTTCATTGGTTTTTGCACCATGCGCAATAAGAAGCTCAATTGTTTCTTTATTATTATTCCTTGTTGCATAATAAAGAGCTGTATTTCCATATTTATCTTTTTCATTGATATTAACACCATTATTGTCGACTATAATTTGATTGTATGACTCAAGTAATAATCTGCAAATATCAGAATTTTGCGCTTTACTTGCGAAAAGAATAATTCCACATTTAGTGACATTATCTTTGTTAGAAAATGTATTGTTTTTGAAAATATCTATTGTTTGCGGAAATGCAGCAGCCCATGGAAAGATAATTTTTTTGTTTCATTTGAATAGAATAAATACAGCATTAAGGTTTTGATATGTGATGATATCTTCATAAATGGATTTATATTTTTTGTCATTCATCAAATTATTTTCTTTTGGCAAATACCAATACTTTCCGTATAAATCAGAAAATCTGTATAAACTTCTATCTAAAACATATTCAAACAATTTATGATTGTGTGTTCTTATAATACTCCTGAGACAATCAATGCCCATTTTATTTTCTTTCATGCATTCGTTGATGATGTCTTGATTTCCTCCAATTACTGCGTAGCTAAGACAGTTTCCAGTTATTTTAATATTATAATTTGAAATTAAGAAATAAAATATGTTAACTGATCCAAAATAGGCACAAGCTTCGATAAGTGTTAATTCTACATCAACATCTTCGAAGAAAGAATCGATATCAAAATTAGTAATTTTGAGAAATTTTTTATCACCCAATATTGAATGCTGAACTGAGTATTCTTTGAACTTATCAATTTGATCATGCATAACTATATATTGGATCGAATCTTCCTTTTCAAATTCTAAATCCGCGAATAAGAAATCGGCGCCGATATGTTTGAGTATTTTGAAGTAATTCGCACCAGATGCATAATTATATCTAATTGCCTCACGAATTAACTTTGCAAGATGCTTGATGGAAAGCTGATATTTCGAAATCAAAGTATTTGTAATTATATTACACATATCTTCGATAGGCTCATTAGATTTTATGTGGAAGAGCTTTTCAAGCGCCCCTATAAAGTCTTCATATTGTTTAGAATAGTCAGAACTCATAATGAAAATTTTTTGACTAATTTTTTTTTTATATTTGTTGTACCCAATGTAGACATTAGATCTGTGCATGGGAATGATTTTGTTTTATAATTAAAATATCTTTCATGAATATGTTTTGTTATTAAGAATACAAGACTTAAAATGACTAAGATCTCATAATTATGAATAATATTTAACTGAATTCGAATCCAATCATACTATATTGAATCAGACATATATTAACACTACCTAAGGATTACATTCTTAATTAGGAATGTGAAAATTGTTTATGATTTACCAAAATCAAATTTAGAATTTGACTTTGTCAAAAGAGATGTGAACAATATTTATAGATATATGCATGACTAGGCCTAGTCATTTATATTTTAATCTCAAATCAAATCATCTGATATTTTGTATTCTGAAATACATGCCAGTAGCTTATAAGCTATGACAAAAATATGTAAGTTATTTATAGGATAGATATAAAGTATTTAATATGTTAAAATGTAATTAAATCAAAATTCGTATTTGAGTAATCATCTTCCCAATTGTTAATAAGACTATTTTCTTGGACAATTTCTTCTATTTGTCCTTGATTCATTGGAAGAGCTTGATACACAGGGGTTTCAGGAATTATCCCCTCAGGAGGAGAAATATATTGATGCTGATATTGGTAAGAGGTTTCTTCTAGGTATCTTACAGTCCATTGTCTCATTTCAGACGGATTTCCAGAGATATAAGGAATCTCTTTAAGAAATTCTTCTGATTCGCTAGAGTTACCGCTTATTATCGTGTATCCCATTCCTTTTAATGAGGTATTAATGGATGTTTTGCATCTTAGTGCCAATATGGATAGTTGAGAAGTATTAACAGCAATTCCGCCATCAAACTTGACTAAACCGCATGCTAAGCATCTTCTCCATTTCGACTCTTTATCATAGTTTTCGAAAATATCAATTGCATCAACCAATTCTCTAAAATCATCAATTTTTGTGTTTCGCTTATTTTTTGTTGATAGCTGACTTAAAACTTCTTGGATTTTCCTATACATCCTTTGATCACTCTCACTGAGGAGTTTCCAGAAAGTTGGAAGCTTTTCCTGCATTATAAATTTTGATTCCTATTTTCTATAAAAAATTTGAAGGGATAAAATTGACAGGACGGACGGTTTTTGCGTTCAATTCAAAAAATTGAAAGAAAAACTTTTTCTTAGAAATTCTTTTTGAGAGAGTTTCAGAAAATGTTGAATTCCAACATAAAACTAGGTGAATTTGATATTGTTCATTCGAATATTCTCAAGATTTGAGTGAGAATCAATCCCAAAAGTATGATTCGCATTTATCAAAGATTTTATTTTTATTTTATCATAAATTAAGGATATACATATTCGGGGAAAATCCATTGTAAGTTGATGCATTAAGTGTTCTGACTTTAATAAAGCTCAAAAACTCATTTCAATTGGAATTATGAAAAATTAAATATCATCAATCTGGAATAATGCCTTGAATTATTACTCAAGACAAGCGACCTGATAACATCATTAAAGACTTTTTAAAACAAATAATTTTCAATCGAATTATCAAAAATTTCAAATATATGATGGTAAGAGAAGCCATTCTCTTTGGAAACGCACGTAATGATTTTCCAGGTTGTTATTTTTCTTAAATTTCATCCGAATTTTACAAAAAAAGGGGGTAATTTTTTTCGAGTAGGGGTAATTTTAGCTAAAAGTGACACGCCTGTAAAAAGTGACACACCCGTGAAGGGTGTGATTACCGATCGGTAATTTCGACAGTTGAGAATTTAAAATTTTTTATGGAACTGTTGCGAGTTTCATAAAGAATTTAAGGAATATAAGCAAAGATTTGAATCAAAATCTTAGACCTAAGCCGCTCGATTCGCTCGCGGCTTCCGCGAATTACAGATCAGCAAAGATTTGAATCAAAATCTTCGAACTAAGCCGATCGCTTCGCTCGCGGCTTTCTTTATTATTTTAAATTTGCATATTTCCATCAAAAGTTCATAAGGTAAAAAATTTCGTTTATTTTTACTAAGAAAAAAAAGGTTTTTGATAATAAATTTATTTTATTTCGAAAAAGTAGCAATAATCGTAAAAGGGTATTGATAGGCTTGCTAAAGTAACTAATTTTAGCTGTCAAATACTTTTGTATTTTGAAGTAAATTAGTATAAATTTGTTTTTACTTTTATTTCGAAAAAGTAACAATAATCGTAAAAGGGTATTGATAGGCTTGCTAAAGTAACTAATTTTAGCTGTCAAATACTTTTGTATTTTGAAGTAAATTAGTATAAATTTGTTTTTACTTTTATTTCGAAAAAGTAACAATAATCGTAAAAGGGTATTGATAGGCTTGCTAAAGTAACTAATTTTAGCTGTCAAATACTTTTGTATTTTGAAGTAAATTAGTATAAATTTGATATTATTTTAACTCCCTTTGAAAACCTCAATTTTCCATACAGAGGGAACGGGAATAGCATCCAATATTCCCTGAGAATGGTTGCGCATTCTCAGTTCCCTCTATATTTCGAACGAAGCTCTCATCGGTCTTTTTTTTTAATACTAAACGTTTTTTTCCCCTGTCACTTTTAGCTAAAATTTGGGTTTGCCATTTTTTTTCCTCATTTGTGTACTGAGTAAAAAATATGAACGGCTTGAAATTTAATCTTAAATTACCCCCATCAGCAGCTAAACCAGCGCAGCCAGCTGAAAACAAGCCAGCTACATCATCTGGCAATGGATGGGGCAAAGCTCTCGGCGGAAATGGACAAAATGGTTTTAAATTAAATATCAAATTTGGAAAAGGCGCAACAGAAAATAAAAATAACTTCCCAGAATTCAATTTCGGAACAGGTCAAACATTTCAATCCAGCAAAGATCCAAAAGAGAAATTCGAAACTACCGTATTAGGCGCAATTGGAAAGAATACCGCAGCACAAGGTAACAACGAAGAAGGTGGTGATGATGCCCAAAATATTGTAAGCATTAACGCAGATGAATTTGCAGGCGAAGAAGACGATCAAAACTTACTCAATCGCAAGTGCAAGCTTTTGGTTTTAACACCTCCAACAGATGCAGGTGGTAAAGCAGCATGGACAGAGAGAGCTAGTGGACCTTTCCATCTTAATAAAACGAAAGATGCACATAGAATTGTTATCAGACGTGAGCCACTTCTTCAACCTGTTGTTAACACTTTAGTCGGAGAGTATCTCAAACCAAAGCTTAATAAATCAACTATTCAATGCTGCTTCATATTAGATAATAAACCAACACCTGCAACAATTAGATTCAAAGATTCTACAATTGCCAAAGAAGTATTCGACAAACTTACTGAAATTATTGACAATCTCAAGAAATAAAGAAAATATATTATAGAAAAATGCTTTTTTTAACTAAAAAAGTTTTGAGTTACAGCAAGAAAATTAATATACATTTCTATCTGCTTTCTATGCAATGATAAAAAATCAATGAAATTTAATTTCTAAGAAATTTCTCAATACTTCGCTTGAAAATTGAGTCTACATGAATCATACTATCAATCTATAATAAATTTACTCAAAAATATCAAATTTGTCTTTTTTTTCTCTCAAAATTCAAATGGCGGAAGAAGAAGCATCAAAAAAGCTATCCCCTTTAACATTTCAAATGGCAAGAAGTGGAGCAATTGAACTCCAGCAAAAGTACACAAAGAGCACAAAGCGTAGAGAGTGCCCAAACGTTTTTATCGTATTTGATTTCATTAAGCCACCAAAAAGCTCGAAAGGACCTATCAATTTAACACTCCCACATCCAGTTAGAATGTTCCCATTCCAATCTGGTGTAGTTTTCGTTGGTGGTGAAAGTGTTAAATGGCAAGAAGCCTTTGATAAAACAGAATTAAAGTTAAAAGCAATTTCAATGTCTGCACTTCAGAAACATTACTCTTCCAGAAAAGAACAAGACCAATTATTCACTTCAACCGATTATTTCTTTGCTGAAAAAGGCGTTGCTTCCCAATTACCAAAGAAATTAGGTAACAAATTCTTCTCTCGTAATCGTCAGCCAACACAAGTAAGTTTAGATATTAGTAACCCAGAACAAATTTATAATGAAATCAAGAACTCAATCCAAGGAACACAGTTTTACATTCCAGCTTCTAATGAATGCTGGGTACGTGCTGGTGGCTTTAATCTTTCCTTTGACCATTTGGCCGAAAATATTGCTATTTGCTCTGAATTGGCTATGCAAGAAATACCTAAAGCTAAGGCTCGTGTAAAATCAATCCATCTTTATGCATCTGGCATCGCTATGCCTCCAATTTGGGAAAAAGATGCTAAAAAGATTACTTTGACCGCAGAAGAGATCAAAACAACACGTACTAACGAAGAACAGTAATCTGATATAGAAATAAATATAGAATTGTTTTCATTTTTTATTGTTATTAGGAAAATAATTTTTTTTTAATTGAAATAAATGAAACCCACAACTAATCAAGTGTTCTTAACCTCTTAATGTATGCATGTATTTTCCATTCAGACTGAGCTATTTTACATCCAAATTATATAAAGACGATTTCCTCTGTAACATATACTCAGGCATCTCTACTCACAAATTTGTTAGATCAATGATTTGTGATTGACATTATTGAAGGAAACGTATTTGATAATTTCGTTATCAATCGAAATCATTATATCCATTCTAATTTAATGATAAAGGATGATATAACTATTTATAAATCAGTCCAAAATATAACTTGATATTAATATTTTTTGTAAATAAAAAATTCATGAATCATAAGATCCAAAAGAGTAGTTATTAACATTGAAGTATTCCAAATGCTTTTGAGTTTTATTATCAATCGTATAAAAATATTTGCATGATTGAAAATTTTTGCATAAAGAGCTGCAAATATTATTTTATTTAAGGGATGTAGCAGATGATGAGCGTGTAGCGCCGACACCAGCCTTAGAGTGCTTAACAACCTTCTTGGATGGGGCGAAATCAGCAAGAACGTGGCCGATCATTTCTGGCTTGATTTGAACTTCGAAGAAAACGTGGCCATCATAGATGCCGATAACGTTATCAACGAACTCTGGAAGGATAACCATATGGCGAAGGTGTGTCTTGACAACTGGTGGACGAACACCAGCCTGGCCTTCAACAGCCTGGCGAGCCTTCTTCAGCTTTTCGATGAGGTGGACGTGCTTAAGATCGAATGAGCGGGAAATGAAGCGACGGCGCTTTGTTGGAAGAAGTTCAACAAAATCCTTGAGCTCCATGGCACGAAGATCATCGAGTGTCTTGCCACGGTATGTGTAGTTACGCTGCGCAAACTTTCCGGATGCGGACATGTTTTCAAAAGGCCAACCAAACCGCAAAAAATAATCGTCTATATTTTTTCCAAAAAGCAGTTTAGGACAATAAAATTCAAAATATTCTTGGTGATTCATATACTACCAGGCATTGACATTATAATTATCAAATCAAAATTGAAAAAATATTCATAATTATAAAATTTTTAAAAATTTTGATAAATCAATATGTTTTATTGATAATATTTTGGTCCGCTTAAATAACCTAAATTGTAGATATGATTATCTATGTATACAACGGTGAATAAAATGAATTGGCAAATAATTTACAAAGAAATCAATGAATAAGTGATTTTATTGGTATTGTAGACGAGGCTTACAAATTTTAAGGGCGTATTTTCATTCAAATAGCTTTGTCTAATAATTTTTGAAAAGGTCACTAAAATTACGATATGATCCGATTTTCTTTACAATTCGAGAGAAGAATAGGTATTATATAGATCATTATGTGACAGCTTAAAACACCTAGTTGTTATATTGTATGTTTTACTATAGTCAAGGATCCAAATCCATCAGGTGCGGAAAGAGCCTCATAGAAACTCGCTCGGGGTAGGCGAAAAAACTTTAATGTTTAGTCACCTTTATTTTAGATCGCCTTTAATAGATTCTGGCAATTAAATGGTATTTTTATTTTATATATCATATGAGCTGTGTGCATTTCCGTTATTACTGAATTCTAGATTTTAGGATTAATTAACGGATTTTTGACAAAAATTGGGGCGAAATGAGTACAGATGAGAATAGCTCCGTGCCCTCGGATGGAGAGAGCATTTCATCGACATCCAGGAGCCAAACTTCAATGAATTCTTCTTTTCGCAGCTCCTTTGCTTCTGAATCTGAAGCTATGGAACAAGGAGAGTACGCAGATGATGCTAATAATGATCCAGAGTTCAAGAAAATGTTCGATGCTACGAAAGAAGAGTATAAGAAAGCAAAGGCGCAATCTTTAGCAATACAGACAAAATTCATGTCCATTTTTAAGGGCGATTATAACACACCAAATATTAATGACTCGTCAACAAGATACCAGGAAGCCTTATCTCAATTTGAACAAAAGATGGCTGAACATGAACAAACAAAATCTCAATATAATACTGAATTACAAGCAATCCAAGAGAAAGCCGAACAGGCTGATAAGCATCGCTTAGAAAGAGAAAAGGAGTTCCATGAAATACGTGAACAAGCTTGCAAGAACGCAATCAAACAAAGAACAAATAAACCACTTACAGCAGTTGAAATCAATACAAAGGAAGGAAAACTCGTTAAAGCAGAACGTGATCTTGAGAATGCAAGAATTCAATTCATTCTTACAAAAAGCAAATACAGGCAAACAGAAGAAGAACTTGATCAACAAGATCAGCTTTCAGAAGGTCTCCATCTTATTGATTTCGAGCAGCTCAAGATTGAAAACCAATCCCTTAACGAGAAAAAGGCAGAAAAACTTCAAGATCTCGAGAAGATTAGAAAGAAAATCGTTGATAACGCGCATATTTTAACTCACGTTAAAGAGAAATTACACTTTGTATCGAGACAAAAAGAAGGATTAATTACAATGCAAAAGAAGATAGACACAGACTACACAGAAGCTCGTGCCAAGCTTGCAACAGCTAGAATTCACAGAGATAAGGTCAGAGATGATAACTCTAACCTTAAGAAGTCTAGCGGCCTTATCGGTATGACTGATTTGCTTTACGACTTCGAAAACCGTTCAAACGAACTCGAATTAATGAAGGATAAGGTAACTGAATTACAACAGAAGTGGAGAGATCTTGTAGCAATGCAGCACGAGTTAGAAGCCAAGATTGCTCAGCATCCACCACTCGATCCAACATTGCTCAGGATGAACAGATAATTTTATTATTTTTTATATATTTTCCCTTTTTATTTTTTTTTGCTTTTTTTTAATAAAACGTTTGATTGATAATATTTGAATTGAAAACAGTTACTTTCTGGTATAAAACATTATAACACAAACTATATAGTTGGTTTCATCCTAGTAACATCTCGATTTCCCATAAAAAAAGTAAGAAATTTCTCATTTTTTCGGATAAATCTGAAATAAATCAAGGAGAATATATTTGATTGAAATCTACTTTTCGAAAGACTTCTATTGTTATTCAATCAATGGTAAAATAAAGATGGTTACAATAGCAATTGTTGTCACTTTTTGGTGTAAAAAGGCTTCTTTCCCAATTTTTTTTATGTCGGACATTACCTCTCAAGTCCGAAGAGAACTGAGAGAGTTTGCAGTAGATCTTTCAGAATTCAAATTTGGCGATAAAATTGGAGAAGGTGGCTTTGGAGAGGTAAATTACGCAATTCATATAGCAACCAAAAAGAAATGCGCAATTAAAAAGCTGTTTCTCAAGGAGCTAAAAGGATCTGATTTCGATTTATTCATTCGTGAAGTCGAAAATCTAGCTATTTGCGATAATATGTTTTGTTTGGCGTTCTTAGGCTGCACATTCAAATATCCTTTCTCCATTATTACACAATACATACCAAACGGATCTCTGTTTAATGCGCTAAAACACCGTGACGGATCTCCTGATTTAGATGGCACTGATAAAACACTGATTGCAATGGGAATTGCACACGGAATGACGTATTTACATAAACACGGAATCATACACAGAGACTTAAAGTCATTAAATATCCTTTTAGACGAAAAGAAACTTCCAATAATTTGTGATTTTGGTTTATCAAGGCGACAAGGCGAATCAGATATAGATTCACCAGAAAATATGATGACAAAGGATGTTGGTACACCACATTGGATGGCTCCAGAGCTTTTTGAATCAAATAATTATACAAATAAAGTTGATGTCTACGCGTTTGGCATGATTATGTGGGAGATGCTTACAGAGATGAGTCCGTTTAAGAACATGAACGGTATGCAAATCGCGTATGCTGTCTGTAAAAAAGGAGAAAGACCACAAATTCCAAATATCACTGCAGAACCAATGAGAGCATTTATTAATCGATGTTGGAACCAAGATCCAAATCAACGGCCAACGTTTGAAGAGATTTACAAAGATTTTAAAACAGGAAAAATCGCATTTAGCGGAACTGAACGAACAGAAGTCCAAAAATTCATTAAATACATCAAAAAAGATGAAGCAAATCGTGCTGCTGTTGGCGAATTCAAGAAACCTCCGCTTAAAACTCCAAATCATCCGAATAGACATCGAAGATCAAAAGAATCGCATCCAAAGCAATCTCCTTCTACAGTACCTAGACATAGAAATACTTATGTTGACTACAATTTACTTTCTCAGCCAGAAAATTTTGATTTTATGGCAAATTTCAATTTGGCAATCAAAAACCTCAAACAAAGTAACGCAGATACATTCTTTGAAGCACTAAAACCAGTATTCCAAAAGAAAGTCGACGTAAATACCATGTTTGAAATATTATCTCAAATTATTAAAGTAATTGAGAACGATCAAGACATTTTACAAATCATGCTTGAGAATGGAATACATACTATTCTGCCAATTGGCGAATTTGACCTATTATCTCCAATATTATTGATATATTTAATCTCAGCAATGCATTTTCCAGGAATTATTGATCCGAAATTCCTTGAAACCATCTCTCCTTTTGTTTCCAGATGCGCAGATAAGGTTTTATCCATAATAACCTATTATTTCCAACCCGGAGATCATCAAACAAACATTTGGGACGTCATGGACTTCATAAGATTGCATAGTGATACGTTTTTATCGCAATGCGGGGTTTCTTTTGTGAAATTAATTCATTACATTTACACAAGAAACCATTCCGTCAAAGCTGTTCGCTTTTCCGACCTTGTTTTCATATTGTCCAAAGCAGTGACTAGTCAGGATATCAATATCATTCATCTTTCTTATAATTGTATTATAGATCTCTTTGATCCACGTATTGTGGTCGACCAAAACACATTAATCAATCATCTATTAAACCAACAGACCATTTCTGATGTATCAAATTACCTTTCCAGGATGCCAAATGTTCAAATAACTCCTCAATTCATTGATGCCTTACTTATTGCAGCAGGAAAGGACAAAATGGCATTGATTGCTCTTCTTGGTATTGCAAAGAAGCACTCAGAAGCTGGAAAAATCCTTATTTCCATATCTGACAGGTGGATGATAACAAATCGAATTAAAGCAGTCGACGTTATCAGCCTAATATTGATCCTTGTATCAAGGAAGAAGCTAAGGAACGATTTGGCCCATTGCGAACTCTTTGCTCAGTGGATCAGTTCAATTCCGGATACAAGAGATATAGAATTGATTGACATTGCAGCTAAGATCGTCATGAAAATGATCGATGAGAAGCAAATGCTGCTCAATTTAACGAAAAATGACTTTTTCAAACATTATTTGACGGTTGTTCCAACTTTAGATGACATTGAGACCACGAAAACATCAATATATATCATAGATACAATTGCCAGGTCCATGCTTACTACAGATTTCATGATTTATATACCAATCATGTTTACCATGCTAAAAACTAATACAGAACTCACATTTCCAGCACTTTCAGCCATAACTGTTCTAAGCAGTCATGAAAAATGTGCAGAAGTTATCAGATCTTTGAATTACAAATCAGTTATGAGATCTTTGAAACATAACCCATCTTATAAGAGTTATGTTGATCTCCTCATTCAGAATATTACAAAATAGAGCTGTTATTATTTTTGTTTTGTTGTATATATAAAGATATAGATATTTTTTTTGTATGTAAATTGTTTAACACTAGATATAATATTAGATTTTTATCTGAAATGAAAAGCCACACATACAAAGAATTAACCCCGTATACAACACTATTAAACTTGGTTGTGTTGTGCCTATTTTCAATTGCAAACATTGAATTTTGAACTTCAGATTAGGTCATTTTTAAATTCAAAAGCATATCAATTTTATACAGATACTGTTTAGTTTTATAAGTAATGATTCTTATTTGCATATTAATTCGCTACATGCCGATAATGACGGATGAAAACTACACAGGTTGTAAGAAGTAATATTATTTTACTTAATTAATTATATCTCATTCAGAACCGTACAATATCATAATTTAGTTGCTAGTTTATTATCATTTTCCCGAATACAGTTAACTAAGCTATTTCCCCTCGCGTTAAAATAAATTAATGGCGTAGTTAATATGTACCCATCTGACTTTAATTCAATTTTTTTCAAATACGGATGTGAATTATATTGAACATTATGTCATTCGGGGGGTAATGGCACCGGTAAAAATGATGAATAATCTATTTGTATTATAAATTGCGGATTATGAAGATTTTTTAATGTTTACTAAAGTTTGTAAAAAAAGAGAAAGTTTATTAACTTTAGAAATACTTTTATTGATAATTGCAAATTCTGCTTGGCAATTACCAGTTGAAAAATGAATCAATTTGTTAGTAAATAGTTCTCTTGCATTAGTAGGTTTTACATTACTATAAAATGTTGATGAAATCGAATTGTCAATGTAACAACTATCAACTGTTAATTGATCATTATTATCGTTATATATCAAACATGAACCTTGAGCAGCAGTGTTGTTAATAAAAGAACAACTTTTTACAGTAAGAGAATTATATGCATGAAGAATAATTCCTAATCTTGATTGGTTATTAGTATTATTTATAATATTACATGAATCAATCAAAGCTTTATACCAAATTTCTATAATCACACTGTCACCATCTGTTGCTTTATTATTAATGACAATTGAATAATTAAATGTTGTTATGCAATTATTTGATTCGGAAAATAAAGAACAAGTGGCTACGTCTGGTGCTTTGCATGATGAAAAATTTGTTGATGAAACTATGATATTATCTTTTTCTGCATGTATTGCTTTTTCACCAATATCTTCTTTTCCTACATCAAAAAGCGAACTTTCAATAAAAAAGTTTATGTTATTTGGATCAACTTTTGTATATGAAAAATGTCCATTTTTAGAGCTTTCGCATTTCGTACAACAGAACTTTCGTTGAACAATTGAACTATTTCTGTCAACATTGTAGTAAACGCAACTTCCATCTTCTGCTGAAGTGCAATGACTAAAAAAACACCTATTATGTAGGAATAATGAGTCATCAATCGAGCTGAAGTTGATAACCCTGTCATTATCATTATAAAAAGTACATTCGTCTAAGTAATATTGACCTTTTCCTGGTGATAAGTTACAGTTTATGCATGATTTTGTTTCTTCACCTATAAATTGACTATTGAAGTAAACATTCCATGGATCGTCATCTCTGAGAGATGAATCTAAATTAGCATTTAATTTATTGGCGCAACACGCCGATATTACGATGATAAAAAATAATTTCTCTGGTGGACACTTAAAGTCTTTTCAGGGGGGTTATACCGTGATATTAGCCTTGTACCGAAAAAAGTGACGGGCAATGCCGTAAAATAATATTTTATTAAAAAATTTTTGGTGGAGAATTGGAAAATTTTTGTTGGAAAATTGGAAAATTTTCCTAATCATTTGGACTATAACCTGGCATATTAGGGAGTTTTGTCAACAACTCAGTGCTGGGATCAAGATAGTTTGTAATCCAAAAGTAGAAACGTTCCTTGGTGTCTTGTTCTGGCTTCCTGCAAAATCTGTGATTTGCAGGATTCTTCTTAATATTGTCAGAAATTGCGCAAATCATGTCCATCGTCGTCAATTCTTCACCATTGATGTTAAAACGATTTCGATTACGGTAATTTCTTTTCTCTTGCAATTCTTTTTCTGCAGGAGTCAATTCACGAACATACTTATTATGTTTGAGAGCTTCTACAGAACAAGGGCAAAGACCGCAGGCGGCAGCAGCATTTTGAACCGTTCTTAATGATACTGATTCTTGCCATGCGCTAATAAATGAGTAGATAATGGCGTAGCGCATCATTGCAGCATTGCTGTTGAACTCTTGCTTCGGTGCCTTAATGTAATCTCTCAGATAATCCGTGAATTTGGACTTTAATCTTTTGGCAATGCCAACATCAAATACTTGTAAAATGTGTGTTGTATGTGCGGGAAGAACAATTAATTTGATGTTGGCACTTGCCAAAAGGAACAATGCCAGAGGATTCTCGCGGCTGGAGTGTCCATCACACACAATGAGAGCAGGCTTGTCACGTATATCTTCTGGCATTCTCTGGCGTTCAAAGTTAAGCCACTCGATGAAGAAAATGCAATACAATAAGAATACACTTCTGTTCACCCAGCCTTTTGGCGTAGAAGTAAACCAACAATGTCTTTCGCGCTGGAATACTTTCAGTTCTCTAGGTAGTTCTGCAATACATGGGAGAACAAAGAGAGGTGGGACAGATTTGCCTGTCATTGAGCATCCGCATAAAGCTGTAATGTGCGGAAAGTTTGGAATTCCTTTGGCGATCATATGCTCTATCTCCTCAGGTAATGCAACTTTCTTCTTCTTAAATTTGTTTATGAATGTTTCATCGATACTAAAAATCAACTCCTCTGGAGTACTTTCGATTGTTTCACGATGTTTATCGTAGAATTCTTCGATAATTCTTGGTTCACACGCCATGTATCTTGATTCTTCAATCTCTTGGCATGCCTTAAGCTTGCAATGCAATTGCTGTAAAATATGGTTAACATAAGGTCTCGATACATCATCACCACCAAGAGTATTGATAACTTCTTCTGCAAGAGTAGGACAATTAATCTCAAGAAGGAATCTGTAACCATAATCTCTTCTGAGCTCTTTCAACTTGAACGCCTCGTCAATAATGTCAGCTGCTTCTAGAGCTTCACCTTTGTAAGCAGAATCTTCGATAATTTCTTTTAAAGTGAGCTGATCACGCTCGCATAGGTATGGATCTGCACCGCCATGATTCCCTTTTTCCCAGTATAGACCTAATGCAGCTCTTTTAAGTGCAGTAGCAATGAGATTGGATGTTAAAGTTCCGAGATCTGGGTATTCTTCCTCCCATGCAAGCTTAGTTTGACTATATGTCATACCTTCGGCGCGACAATTGATGATAAACTTTTGTTGTCTACCAAGAAATTCGACTGTGAGAAATTCCATTTTTAATTTTAAACGAGCACTTGAGCCACGTTTTATCTGACTTCACCAGCCAAAAAGCCCCTGTACTAAGTGTCATGTTTTTGTTTATTTTAAAGTTTCTGCCATGTAATGGTTTACATTGCAAATTTTTTGAATACTTTACATCACCATAAAATGGCAGTACAAGGCTAGTTTATCGGTACAAGGCTCTTGAAATGACTTTAACAGCTTGTTGTAAAGTTTTGCAAGAAGAGAAATTTGTTGAAGAAACAACAATTTCATCACTCTCATCATCTATTTCCTCTTCTCCAAAATCTACACTACCTACATCAGAGAAATATTTAGACCAACTTTTGAAAACGAAAAATGCCTGTAATGCTGACATTGATAGCTTGTACAACGAAACTTTCTTCACCTATAAATTAACTATTGAAATAAATATTCCAGGGATCGTCATTTCTGAAAGATGATTTTAATTAATCTGCCATTTAATTCATTGGCGCAACACGCCGATAACTCAATATTAAAATGATGTTTTTATAATCATGAACAACTATCAACTGTTAATTGATCATCATTGTTATATATCAAACATGAACCTTCAGGAGTAGTGTTGTTAATAAAAGAACAACTTTTTACAGTAAGAGAATTATATGCATGAAGAATAATTCCTAATCTTGATTGGTTATTAGTATTATTTATAATATTACATGAATCAATCAAAGCTTTATACCAAATTTCTATAATCACACTGTCACCATCTGTTGCTTTATTATTAATGACAGTTGAATAGTTGAATGTTGTTATGTAATTATTTGATTGAGAAACCAAGGAACAAGTGGCTACGTCTGGTGCTTTGCATGATGAAAAATTTGTTGATGAAACTATGATATTATCTTTTTCTGCATGTATTGCTTTTTCACCAATATCTTCTTTTCCTACATCAAAAAGCGAACTTTCAATAAAAAAGTTTATGTTATTTGGATCAACTTTTGTATATGAAAAATGTCCATTTTTAGAGCTTTCGCATTTCGTACAACAGAACTTTCGTTGAACAATTGAACTATTTCTGTCAACATTGTAGTAAACGCAACTTCCATCTTCTGCTGAAGTGCAATGACTAAAAAAACACCTATTATGTAGGAATAATGAGTCATCAATCGAGCTGAAGTTGATAACCCTGTCATTATCATTATAAAAAGTACATTCGTCTAAGTAATATTGACCTTTTCCTGGTGATAAGTTACAGTTTATGCATGATTTTGTTTCTTCACCTATAAATTGACTATTGAAGTAAACATTCCATGGATCGTCATCTCTGAGAGATGAATCTAAATTAGCATTTAATTTATTGGCGCAACACGCCGATATTACGATGATAAAAAATAATTTCTCTGGTGGACACTTAAAGTCTTTTCAGGGGGGTTATACCGTGATATTAGCCTTGTACCGAAAAAAGTGACGGGCAATGCCGTAAAATAATATTTTATTAAAAAATTTTTGGTGGAGAATTGGAAAATTTTTGTTGGAAAATTGGAAAATTTTCCTAATCATTTGGACTATAACCTGGCATATTAGGGAGTTTTGTCAACAACTCAGTGCTGGGATCAAGATAGTTTGTAATCCAAAAGTAGAAACGTTCCTTGGTGTCTTGTTCTGGCTTCCTGCAAAATCTGTGATTTGCAGGATTCTTCTTAATATTGTCAGAAATTGCGCAAATCATGTCCATCGTCGTCAATTCTTCACCATTGATGTTAAAACGATTTCGATTACGGTAATTTCTTTTCTCTTGCAATTCTTTTTCTGCAGGAGTCAATTCACGAACATACTTATTATGTTTGAGAGCTTCTACAGAACAAGGGCAAAGACCGCAGGCGGCAGCAGCATTTTGAACCGTTCTTAATGATACTGATTCTTGCCATGCGCTAATAAATGAGTAGATAATGGCGTAGCGCATCATTGCAGCATTGCTGTTGAACTCTTGCTTCGGTGCCTTAATGTAATCTCTCAGATAATCCGTGAATTTGGACTTTAATCTTTTGGCAATGCCAACATCAAATACTTGTAAAATGTGTGTTGTATGTGCGGGAAGAACAATTAATTTGATGTTGGCACTTGCCAAAAGGAACAATGCCAGAGGATTCTCGCGCTGGAGTGTCCATCACACACAATGAGAGCAGGCTTGTCACGTATATCTTCTGGCATTCTCTGGCGTTCAAAGTTAAGCCACTCGATGAAGAAAATGCAATACAATAAGAATACACTTCTGTTCACCCAGCCTTTTGGCGTAGAAGTAAACCAACAATGTCTTTCGCGCTGGAATACTTTCAGTTCTCTAGGTAGTTCTGCAATACATGGGAGAACAAAGAGAGGTGGGACAGATTTGCCTGTCATTGAGCATCCGCATAAAGCTGTAATGTGCGGAAAGTTTGGAATTCCTTTGGCGATCATATGCTCTATCTCCTCAGGTAATGCAACTTTCTTCTTCTTAAATTTGTTTATGAATGTTTCATCGATACTAAAAATCAACTCCTCTGGAGTACTTTCGATTGTTTCACGATGTTTATCGTAGAATTCTTCGATAATTCTTGGTTCACACGCCATGTATCTTGATTCTTCAATCTCTTGGCATGCCTTAAGCTTGCAATGCAATTGCTGTAAAATATGGTTAACATAAGGTCTCGATACATCATCACCACCAAGAGTATTGATAACTTCTTCTGCAAGAGTAGGACAATTAATCTCAAGAAGGAATCTGTAACCATAATCTCTTCTGAGCTCTTTCAACTTGAACGCCTCGTCAATAATGTCAGCTGCTTCTAGAGCTTCACCTTTGTAAGCAGAATCTTCGATAATTTCTTTTAAAGTGAGCTGATCACGCTCGCATAGGTATGGATCTGCACCGCCATGATTCCCTTTTTCCCAGTATAGACCTAATGCAGCTCTTTTAAGTGCAGTAGCAATGAGATTGGATGTTAAAGTTCCGAGATCTGGGTATTCTTCCTCCCATGCAAGCTTAGTTTGACTATATGTCATACCTTCGGCGCGACAATTGATGATAAACTTTTGTTGTCTACCAAGAAATTCGACTGTGAGAAATTCCATTTTTAATTTTAAACGAGCACTTGAGCCACGTTTTATCTGACTTCACCAGCCAAAAAGCCCCTGTACTAAGTGTCATGTTTTTGTTTATTTTAAAGTTTCTGCCATGTAATGGTTTACATTGCAAATTTTTTGAATACTTTACATCACCATAAAATGGCAGTACAAGGCTAGTTTATCGGTACAAGGCTCTTGAAATGACTTTAACAGCTTGTTGTAAAGTTTTGCAAGAAGAGAAATTTGTTGAAGAAACAACAATTTCATCACTCTCATCATCTATTTCCTCTTCTCCAAAATCTACACTACCTACATCAGAGAAATATTTAGACCAACTTTTGAAAACGAAAAATGCCTGTAATGCTGACATTGATAGCTTGTACAACGAAACTTTCTTCACCTATAAATTAACTATTGAAATAAATATTCCAGGGATCGTCATTTCTGAAAGATGATTTTAATTAATCTGCCATTTAATTCATTGGCGCAACACGCCGATAACTCAATATTAAAATGATGTTTTTTATAATCATGAACAACTATCAACTGTTAATTGATCATCATTGTTATATATCAAACATGAACCTTCAGGAGTAGTGTTGTTAATAAAAGAACAACTTTTTACAGTAAGAGAATTAGCTTGATGGTAAATAATTCCAATTGTTGATTGTCTATTAGTATTATTATAATATTACATGAATCAATCAAAGAGTTATACCAAATTTCTATAATCACACTGTCACCATCTGTTGCTTTATTATTAATGACAGTTGAATAGTTGAATGTTGTTATGTAATTATTTGATTGAGAAACCAAGGAACAAGTGGCTACGTCTGGTGCTTTGCATGATGAAAAATTTGTTGATGAAACTATGATATTATCTTTTTCTGCATGTATTGCTTTTTCACCAATATCTTCTTTTCCTACATCAAAAAGCGAACTTTCAATAAAAAAGTTTATGTTATTTGGATCAACTTTTGTATATGAAAAATGTCCATTTTTAGAGCTTTCGCATTTCGTACAACAGAACTTTCGTTGAACAATTGAACTATTTCTGTCAACATTGTAGTAAACGCAACTTCCATCTTCTGCTGAAGTGCAATGACTAAAAAACACCTATTATGTAGGAATAATGAGTCATCAATCGAGCTGAAGTTGATAACCCTGTCATTATCATTATACATTCGTCTAAGTAATATTGACCTTTTCCTGGTGATAAGTTACAGTTTATGCATTTTGTTTCTTCACCTATAAATTGACTATTGAAGTAAACATTCCATGGATCGTCATCTCTGAGAGATGAATCTAAATTAGCATTTAATTTATTGGCGCAACACGCCGATATTACGATGATAAAAAATAATTTCTCTGGTGGACACTTAAAGTCTTTTCAGGGGGGTTATACCGTGATATTAGCCTTGTACCGAAAAAAGTGACGGGCAATGCCGTAAAATAATATTTTATTAAAAAATTTTTGGTGGAGAATTGGAAAATTTTTGTTGGAAAATTGGAAAATTTTCCTAATCATTTGGACTATAACCTGGCATATTAGGGAGTTTTGTCAACAACTCAGTGCTGGGATCAAGATAGTTTGTAATCCAAAAGTAGAAACGTTCCTTGGTGTCTTGTTCTGGCTTCCTGCAAAATCTGTGATTTGCAGGATTCTTCTTAATATTGTCAGAAATTGCGCAAATCATGTCCATCGTCGTCAATTCTTCACCATTGATGTTAAAACGATTTCGATTACGGTAATTTCTTTTCTCTTGCAATTCTTTTTCTGCAGGAGTCAATTCACGAACATACTTATTATGTTTGAGAGCTTCTACAGAACAAGGGCAAAGACCGCAGGCGGCAGCAGCATTTTGAACCGTTCTTAATGATACTGATTCTTGCCATGCGCTAATAAATGAGTAGATAATGGCGTAGCGCATCATTGCAGCATTGCTGTTGAACTCTTGCTTCGGTGCCTTAATGTAATCTCTCAGATAATCCGTGAATTTGGACTTTAATCTTTTGGCAATGCCAACATCAAATACTTGTAAAATGTGTGTTGTATGTGCGGGAAGAACAATTAATTTGATGTTGGCACTTGCCAAAAGGAACAATGCCAGAGGATTCTCGCGGCTGGAGTGTCCATCACACACAATGAGAGCAGGCTTGTCACGTATATCTTCTGGCATTCTCTGGCGTTCAAAGTTAAGCCACTCGATGAAGAAAATGCAATACAATAAGAATACACTTCTGTTCACCCAGCCTTTTGGCGTAGAAGTAAACCAACAATGTCTTTCGCGCTGGAATACTTTCAGTTCTCTAGGTAGTTCTGCAATACATGGGAGAACAAAGAGAGGTGGGACAGATTTGCCTGTCATTGAGCATCCGCATAAAGCTGTAATGTGCGGAAAGTTTGGAATTCCTTTGGCGATCATATGCTCTATCTCCTCAGGTAATGCAACTTTCTTCTTCTTAAATTTGTTTATGAATGTTTCATCGATACTAAAAATCAACTCCTCTGGAGTACTTTCGATTGTTTCACGATGTTTATCGTAGAATTCTTCGATAATTCTTGGTTCACACGCCATGTATCTTGATTCTTCAATCTCTTGGCATGCCTTAAGCTTGCAATGCAATTGCTGTAAAATATGGTTAACATAAGGTCTCGATACATCATCACCACCAAGAGTATTGATAACTTCTTCTGCAAGAGTAGGACAATTAATCTCAAGAAGGAATCTGTAACCATAATCTCTTCTGAGCTCTTTCAACTTGAACGCCTCGTCAATAATGTCAGCTGCTTCTAGAGCTTCACCTTTGTAAGCAGAATCTTCGATAATTTCTTTTAAAGTGAGCTGATCACGCTCGCATAGGTATGGATCTGCACCGCCATGATTCCCTTTTTCCCAGTATAGACCTAATGCAGCTCTTTTAAGTGCAGTAGCAATGAGATTGGATGTTAAAGTTCCGAGATCTGGGTATTCTTCCTCCCATGCAAGCTTAGTTTGACTATATGTCATACCTTCGGCGCGACAATTGATGATAAACTTTTGTTGTCTACCAAGAAATTCGACTGTGAGAAATTCCATTTTTAATTTTAAACGAGCACTTGAGCCACGTTTTATCTGACTTCACCAGCCAAAAAGCCCCTGTACTAAGTGTCATGTTTTTGTTTATTTTAAAGTTTCTGCCATGTAATGGTTTACATTGCAAATTTTTTGAATACTTTACATCACCATAAAATGGCAGTACAAGGCTAGTTTATCGGTACAAGGCTCTTGAAATGACTTTAACAGCTTGTTGTAAAGTTTTGCAAGAAGAGAAATTTGTTGAAGAAACAACAATTTCATCACTCTCATCATCTATTTCCTCTTCTCCAAAATCTACACTACCTACATCAGAGAAATATTTAGACCAACTTTTGAAAACGAAAAATGCCTGTAATGCTGACATTGATAGCTTGTACAACGAAACTTTCTTCACCTATAAATTAACTATTGAAATAAATATTCCAGGGATCGTCATTTCTGAAAGATGATTTTAATTAATCTGCCATTTAATTCATTGGCGCAACACGCCGATAACTCAATATTAAAATGATGTTTTTATAATCATGAACAACTATCAACTGTTAATTGATCATCATTGTTATATATCAAACATGAACCTTCAGGAGTAGTGTTGTTAATAAAAGAACAACTTTTTACAGTAAGAGAATTAGCTTGATGGTAAATAATTCCAATTGTTGATTGTCTATTAGTATTATTTATAATATTACATGAATCAATCAAAGAGTTATACCAAATTTCTATAATCACACTGTCACCATCTGTTGCTTTATTATTAATGACAGTTGAATAGTTGAATGTTGTTATGTAATTATTTGATTGAGAAACCAAGGAACAAGTGGCTACGTCTGGTGCTTTGCATGATGAAAAATTTGTTGATGAAACTATGATATTATCTTTTTCTGCATGTATTGCTTTTTCACCAATATCTTCTTTTCCTACATCAAAAAGCGAACTTTCAATAAAAAAGTTTATGTTATTTGGATCAACTTTTGTATATGAAAAATGTCCATTTTTAGAGCTTTCGCATTTCGTACAACAGAACTTTCGTTGAACAATTGAACTATTTCTGTCAACATTGTAGTAAACGCAACTTCCATCTTCTGCTGAAGTGCAATGACTAAAAAAACACCTATTATGTAGGAATAATGAGTCATCAATCGAGCTGAAGTTGATAACCCTGTCATTATCATTATAAAAAGTACATTCGTCTAAGTAATATTGACCTTTTCCTGGTGATAAGTTACAGTTTATGCATGATTTTGTTTCTTCACCTATAAATTGACTATTGAAGTAAACATTCCATGGATCGTCATCTCTGAGAGATGAATCTAAATTAGCATTTAATTTATTGGCGCAACACGCCGATATTACGATGATAAAAAATAATTTCTCTGGTGGACACTTAAAGTCTTTTCAGGGGGTTATACCGTGATATTAGCCTTGTACCGAAAAAAGTGACGGGCAATGCCGTAAAATAATATTTTATTAAAAAATTTTTGGTGGAGAATTGGAAAATTTTTGTTGGAAAATTGGAAAATTTTCCTAATCATTTGGACTATAACCTGGCATATTAGGGAGTTTTGTCAACAACTCAGTGCTGGGATCAAGATAGTTTGTAATCCAAAAGTAGAAACGTTCCTTGGTGTCTTGTTCTGGCTTCCTGCAAAATCTGTGATTTGCAGGATTCTTCTTAATATTGTCAGAAATTGCGCAAATCATGTCCATCGTCGTCAATTCTTCACCATTGATGTTAAAACGATTTCGATTACGGTAATTTCTTTTCTCTTGCAATTCTTTTTCTGCAGGAGTCAATTCACGAACATACTTATTATGTTTGAGAGCTTCTACAGAACAAGGGCAAAGACCGCAGGCGGCAGCAGCATTTTGAACCGTTCTTAATGATACTGATTCTTGCCATGCGCTAATAAATGAGTAGATAATGGCGTAGCGCATCATTGCAGCATTGCTGTTGAACTCTTGCTTCGGTGCCTTAATGTAATCTCTCAGATAATCCGTGAATTTGGACTTTAATCTTTTGGCAATGCCAACATCAAATACTTGTAAAATGTGTGTTGTATGTGCGGGAAGAACAATTAATTTGATGTTGGCACTTGCCAAAAGGAACAATGCCAGAGGATTCTCGCGGCTGGAGTGTCCATCACACACAATGAGAGCAGGCTTGTCACGTATATCTTCTGGCATTCTCTGGCGTTCAAAGTTAAGCCACTCGATGAAGAAAATGCAATACAATAAGAATACACTTCTGTTCACCCAGCCTTTTGGCGTAGAAGTAAACCAACAATGTCTTTCGCGCTGGAATACTTTCAGTTCTCTAGGTAGTTCTGCAATACATGGGAGAACAAAGAGAGGTGGGACAGATTTGCCTGTCATTGAGCATCCGCATAAAGCTGTAATGTGCGGAAAGTTTGGAATTCCTTTGGCGATCATATGCTCTATCTCCTCAGGTAATGCAACTTTCTTCTTCTTAAATTTGTTTATGAATGTTTCATCGATACTAAAAATCAACTCCTCTGGAGTACTTTCGATTGTTTCACGATGTTTATCGTAGAATTCTTCGATAATTCTTGGTTCACACGCCATGTATCTTGATTCTTCAATCTCTTGGCATGCCTTAAGCTTGCAATGCAATTGCTGTAAAATATGGTTAACATAAGGTCTCGATACATCATCACCACCAAGAGTATTGATAACTTCTTCTGCAAGAGTAGGACAATTAATCTCAAGAAGGAATCTGTAACCATAATCTCTTCTGAGCTCTTTCAACTTGAACGCCTCGTCAATAATGTCAGCTGCTTCTAGAGCTTCACCTTTGTAAGCAGAATCTTCGATAATTTCTTTTAAAGTGAGCTGATCACGCTCGCATAGGTATGGATCTGCACCGCCATGATTCCCTTTTTCCCAGTATAGACCTAATGCAGCTCTTTTAAGTGCAGTAGCAATGAGATTGGATGTTAAAGTTCCGAGATCTGGGTATTCTTCCTCCCATGCAAGCTTAGTTTGACTATATGTCATACCTTCGGCGCGACAATTGATGATAAACTTTTGTTGTCTACCAAGAAATTCGACTGTGAGAAATTCCATTTTTAATTTTAAACGAGCACTTGAGCCACGTTTTATCTGACTTCACCAGCCAAAAAGCCCCTGTACTAAGTGTCATGTTTTTGTTTATTTTAAAGTTTCTGCCATGTAATGGTTTACATTGCAAATTTTTTGAATACTTTACATCACCATAAAATGGCAGTACAAGGCTAGTTTATCGGTACAAGGCTCTTGAAATGACTTTAACAGCTTGTTGTAAAGTTTTGCAAGAAGAGAAATTTGTTGAAGAAACAACAATTTCATCACTCTCATCATCTATTTCCTCTTCTCCAAAATCTACACTACCTACATCAGAGAAATATTTAGACCAACTTTTGAAAACGAAAAATGCCTGTAATGCTGACATTGATAGCTTGTACAACGAAACTTTCTTCACCTATAAATTAACTATTGAAATAAATATTCCAGGGATCGTCATTTCTGAAAGATGATTTTAATTAATCTGCCATTTAATTCATTGGCGCAACACGCCGATAACTCAATATTAAAATGATGTTTTTATAATCATGAACAACTATCAACTGTTAATTGATCATCATTGTTATATATCAAACATGAACCTTCAGGAGTAGTGTTGTTAATAAAAGAACAACTTTTTACAGTAAGAGAATTAGCTTGATGGTAAATAATTCCAATTGTTGATTGTCTATTAGTATTATTTATAATATTACATGAATCAATCAAAGAGTTATACCAAATTTCTATAATCACACTGTCACCATCTGTTGCTTTATTATTAATGACAGTTGAATAGTTGAATGTTGTTATGTAATTATTTGATTGAGAAACCAAGGAACAAGTGGCTACGTCTGGTGCTTTGCATGATGAAAAATTTGTTGATGAAACTATGATATTATCTTTTTCTGCATGTATTGCTTTTTCACCAATATCTTCTTTTCCTACATCAAAAAGCGAACTTTCAATAAAAAAGTTTATGTTATTTGGATCAACTTTATTATGAAAAATGTCCATTTTTAGAGCTTTCGCATTTCGTACAACAGAACTTTCGTTGAACAATTGAACTATTTCTGTCAACATTGTAGTAAACGCAACTTCCATCTTCTGCTGAAGTGCAATGACTAAAAAAACACCTATTATGTAGGAATAATGAGTCATCAATCGAGCTGAAGTTGATAACCCTGTCATTATCATTATAAAAAGTACATTCGTCTAAGTAATATTGACCTTTTCCTGGTGATAAGTTACAGTTTATGCATGATTTTGTTTCTTCACCTATAAATTGACTATTGAAGTAAACATTCCATGGATCGTCATCTCTGAGAGATGAATCTAAATTAGCATTTAATTTATTGGCGCAACACGCCGATATTACGATGATAAAAAATAACAGCTTGTTGTAAAGTTTTGCAAGAAGAGAAATTTGTTGAAGAAACGACAATTTCATCACTCTCATCATCTATTGCCTCTTCTCCAAAATCTACACTACCTACATCAGAGAAATATTTAGACCAACTTTTGAAAACGAAAAATGCCTGTAATGCTGACATTGATAGTTTGTACAACAAAACTTTCTTTGAACAATTGAGCTATCACTTCCAATGCTGTAGTAAATGCAACCTCCATCTTCTTCTGAAGTGCAATTGATGAAATTACAACGATTATGAAGGAACAATGAATCATTAATTGGGTAAAAGTTAATAACTCTATCCTTATCTCGAAAAAAAAATTAAAATTGATAAATAGTTTTGTTCTGATCTTGCACGTAATATTTTGACTATAATGAAACACCGAAGCGGCTATTCACAGCCATTTGGTGAGTTGATCACACCTTATTGTGATTTTTCGAAAATTCACAGTGTTGTTAGTATAGGGTGTCCAAAGGTGCGTTTAGCACAGCGCTCTATATGAGACTATTAAAGGAGATATATGCTGATTATAAATATATAATAAAAAATATGAATATATGTATATGATGAGTAAGTTGTATTTTGGCGCCATGCCGGGATATAAAATGAATTTTGAGACAAGAGGCGGTTTCGCGGGAAATTTTGGCGGGATTTTTTTCATTTTTTTAATGAATCATAAAGAAAACATCCTCGCTCTTGCAAAAAAATGCAAAGACTGTAAAAAATCTACGAGACATTGGTAAAATGCTTCGGTATGGATGCTCCTAGCTATTCCACTGTAACGTATCATGTTAGGATGTATCACTTCATGAACAAAAAGGCGCCCATCATAAAAATTGACAAAAATCGCCGGATCAAAGAAAAATCAAAGCAATTCTTCAAGCGCTAGATGAAGACCCAAGAGCATCACTCAGAAGGATAGAGGAGATGACAAAGATACCACGTACAACAGTCAGTTATTATCTGCATAATTATTTGAACTACAAACTAGCGTATACACGTTGGGTTCCGCACAACCTTAATTCAGTTCAAAAAAAATCTAGAGTCCAATCTTCGAAAGAGCTCCTCTCTATATTGGGTGCGTATCAATCCAAGAAGTTTCGCTTTTTAGTAACAGGGGACGAGTCTTGGTTTCAATATGCAACAGAAGCCAAAATCATGTGGATCCCGAAGGATGAAAATCCGCAAACATTCCCGAAGAAAAAAATTGACACACCAATGATTATGTTGTCGGTTTTTTGGGGCGTGAATGACATCATCGCAATTGATATTCTTCAAAAACCTAATACGATGAATGCTCAGTATCTAATTGACAATGTTCTTACTCAAATTATCAATTCTGATGAGTTTGAGAAATCCAAACAACAAAAACAAAAGTTTGCAATTCATTTTGATAATTCAAGAGTTCACAAAAGTCATAAGGTAATGAATTACTTGGTGGAAAACAATGTCAAAGTTGTTCCAAACCCAATTTATTCACCTGATATTGCACCCTCTGACTTTTATTTATTCGGCACGCTAAAAAAGAGAGCTGAAGGACGCGAATTCGCGAGTCCAGATGATCTTGAAAATTTTGTAAGAGAGCAATTTGAGCAATTTTCTCATGATGATTTAAAGCGTGTCTTTCAAGCCTGGATCGATCGCTGCGAACGCGTGATTGAATCCAATGGTGATTATATTTAAATAAACTTTATATATATGTAACTTGTTTATTTCTATTCGCAGTATTCAGGTTTGTGCTAAACACACCTTTGGACACCCTATACTAAGTTGAACATCGACAAAGATATTGTTCGTACTATCAATGATCTCACAAGTTCGTTTGATGAACAACTTTTGTTCGCAATCATATTTCATGGATCATCACATCATCATCTAAACTTCTTGATGAGACAACACAACCAGTTCCAGACAATGCTCTTCCTCCTAAGGAAGAAATGATCCAATAAGAAGTCTCCGTGATGTCACTTGTTACTCGTCAGGAAAAGCCAAAGCCCTAACATCCACATCGCGACTTATCTAGTGGTCGCAGCGCAAACAGTTCACAGACTACCCTCGAAGTTGCATCTATTCTTTCTCTTGAAGTCTGCTCAATCAAACCACCAGAAGACATCAATGATAAGAAATCACGTGCCAAGCTTCTTAGTGCAATGTCATTAGTTCTTGACGTAGATGGTTTTCCAATTGGTATTGATGAGAGTTTCCACGATTTGCTCCATGGACTCATTCAAGAACATGCTTGTTTCATTCAAGAGCGACATTATCCTTCACATGCACGAAATCAGCCAGTGCATGTCCGAGAAATACAGCATGACCTGTTTTTGCAGTCAACATATTTTTGTCAAACAGAAAGAGAACGTTTCTATCCAGACCTTTTCTGCTCTACGTAAAGATGGAGAGATACAATGTGGTGACCAAAACCACACAGGACTTAAGAAGTAATATTATTTTACTTTATTTAATTATATTAATAATATATTATATGTTTTATCAAATTCAGATGTAATGGAAATTATTTAACTTTATTTAATATACATCTATATATCAACTGCAAGAATTAATTTGGGAAATTTTGAACTGTCTTCAATATTTACAAAGGACTTGATCACACAATATCATGATTTATCGAAAGCACATAGTGTTGCTAGTACTAAGTTGTACGTCGACAAAGACATTGTTCGTACTATCATGTATGTCACAATTTCGCTTTGTGAACAACTTTTGTCCTGTGTTTCATCAGAACACGAAGTTCGCAATCATATTTCACGGGAGATCACATCATCATCTAAACTTCTTGATGAGACAACACCTCCCGCTCCTGTCAATGTTTCTCCTACTAAGGAAAAACCGATACAAGAAGAAGTCTCGTTGATGTGCTACTCTTCAGAAGAAGCAAAAGCACTTGCACCCATATTGCAACTTATCTAGTGGTCGCAGCGCAAACAGTTCACAAAGTAACCTCGAAGTCTGTTCAATCAAACCACCAGAAGATATTAATGATAAAAAAATCTGTTAATGTAAGTTATCTTAAATGAAATCTGTTGATGAAGTCTCATTAGTTCTTGACTTATGTTGTTTTACACTTGGTATTGACGAGAGTTTCCACGTTTTGCTCCATGACTCATTCAAGGATATGCTTGTTTCATTTAAGATCGACATTAGCCTTCACATGTATGAATTCCGCCAGTGCATGTCCGAGAACTATGGCACGATCCATCTTTGCAGTCAACAGATCCTTGTCAAACAGAAAGCGAACGTTTCTATTCAGACGGAGAAAACCAATGCGGCGACGAAAACCACACAGGTCGTAAGAAGTAATAATATATTACTTTATTAATTATATATTATATGTTTTATCTCATTATGATACATACGGACGTGATTTATATTGAACGTTATGCCAAACAGGGAAAGAGCACCGGAATTTATAATATAAGTTGCAGACTATGAAGAGTTATTAATGTTTAGTATAGAAATGTAGAAAAGATAAAGTTTATTAACTTCAGAAATACTTTTATTGATAATTGCAAATTCTGCTTGGCAATTATCAGTTGAAAAATGAATCAATTTGTTAGTAAATAGTTCTCTTGCATTAGTAGGTTTTACATTACTATAAAATGTTGTTGAAATCAAATTGTCAATGTAACAACTATCAACTGTTAATTGATCTTGATTGTTATATATCAAATATTTACCTTCAGGAACAGTGTTGTTAATAAAAGAACAACTTTTTACAGTAAGAGAAAAATCTCTATGGTAAATAATTCCAGATTTTGATTGTGTATTAGTATTATTTATAATATTACACGAATCAATCAAAGAGGTAAAGTAAATATCTATAATCACACTGTTATCAACTGTTGCTTTATTATAAATGACTGTTGAATAGTTGAGTGTTGTTATGTAATTATTTGATTCAGAATACAAATAACAAGTAGCTACGTCTGGAGAATTATTTGATGAAAATTTTGTTGATGAAACTATGATATTATCTTTTTCTGCATGAATTACTTCATGACCAATACTTTCATTTCCTACATCGAAAAGCGAACTTTCAATAAAAAAGTTTATGTTATTTGGATCAACTTTTGTATATGAAAAATGTCCATTTTTAGAGCTTTCGCATTTCGTACAACAGAACTTTCGTTGAACAATTGAACTATTTCTGTCAACATTGTAGTAAACGCAACTTCCATCTTCTGCTGAAGTGCAATGACTAAAAAAACACCGATTATGTAGAAATAATGAGTCATTGATTGAGTTAAAGTTGATAACTCGGTCTTTATCATTATAAAAAGTACATTCGTCTAAGTAATATTGACCTTTTCCTGGTGATAAGTTACAGTTTATGCATGATTTTGCTTCTTCACCTCTAAATTGACTATTGAAGTAAATTTTCCATGGATTGTCCTCTCTGAGAGATGAATCTAAATTAGCATTTAATTTATTGGCGCAACACGCCGATAAAACAGTATTAACCTCATGATTGGTAAAACCTCGAAAATATCCTGAGAATGATAGTTACACCAACAAACCGATTAATCGACCTTAATCTTGCAAAACTTGAAGAAATTACATATGCATTTATTCTAAACATTAATTCGAACACTTTTATCCTTCCATGAATGCTTTCGAATTTATGACTCTGTAAAATTATGCTCAAGATTCTTTATATATCTATTCATTAATTTGAGAAGATTATCTTCATTATTAATTCTCAAATCACTCAATTTTTGGTATTCCTGCACGAGGATAAATTTATGCTTTACAAAAAATGTTTATAAGGAGGGAGAAATTAAGAAGTCTATTAAGAAAATTATATTTTATACTAATAGGTGCAAACTTTGCATCACAGATTTCATCTGAAAAACGAATCTCTTTGTCTCCAAGTCGTGTTCTTGGATTACTTGGAATGATTTTCCGATAAAATTTTTGTGAAATAGATTTATCAATGAAACAATCATTAACTATCAAAATATCTCCATCATTGTTCCTGATCAAAACCGATCCATTTGGGGCAGTGTTGTTGACGAATGAACTGCTTTCTATTGTAAGCGTATTAAAATAATGAGTGATAGTTCCAAATAAAGACATCGTATTTGTATTATTTACGAAATTACACGAAAATATAGAAGCATTATAATGAATATTCATCATTCCTCCAAAATTATCGGTTGCTATATTTAGAACGATATTAGTGTAATTGAACTGCATCACATAATTCTGAGAAGGACACTTAAACCAACCAACAGATTGTTGTAAAGCTTTGCATGAAGTGAAATTTGTTGAAGAAACAACAATTTCATCACTCTCAACATCTACTGCTTCTTCTCCAAAATCTTCACTACCAATATCAGAAAGAGAACCTTCTATGAAAAAATTTAAGTTATTTGGACCAACTTTTGAAAACGAAAAATGTCCGTAATGCTGACATTGACAGTTTGTACAACAAAACTTTCTTTGAACAATTGAGCTATCACTTCCAATGCTGTAGTAAATGCAACCTCCATCTTCTTCTGAAGTGCAATTGATGAAATTACAACGATTATGAAGGAATAGTGAATCATTAATTGGGTTAAAGTAATACTGACCTTTTCCAATTGTAAGATTGCAATTTTGGCAGTATTTGGTCTTTTGACCTAAAAAGCGAGTGTTAAAGTAGCTGTTCCATACTCCGCCATCCTTTACAGATGATTTTTTTTCGTAATTTATTCAGATTAAAAACAAACCGTTTTCCGCTCTTAATCTAAATTTTCGGGATAATCCTATTATCATTAGATTATCATGTTTTTCATTTATTGTTAACGCGACTTCTTTCGGAAATAAATAATCGTATTTTTGTCATTATTCCGAAATAACCGTTTTATGATTACGACAATACTGTTTTAATTTCAGCAAATATCAAATGCTCTCATAATTCTCTTTGAGAACTTCCCATTATTTACATAGTTTAGTCGTTATCGTATTAAGAATTAATGATTGAATTCCTTCCAGGCATGTCTATAATATAACGTAAACAGAGAAGGACAGTTAAGACATTATTCATGGATTTTCCTCGAAATCACCAAATTTATGTTAAAATCAAAAACATTAGATTTTTTATGTAAAATAGTCATTATTATAGCAAGTGTATGTATGATTAATACATATTATGCCTTAAACAATTCAGTAATCAATATTAAATTTCAATTCCAAATTTTGGCATGAAAAGAAAGTCAAATGTAAGCGAATACAGAAATACCGGTTTGACTGCTATGATCTTAGTGTAGATGTTCTAGAAAAAAACAGATTATTGCGATGACATTAGAAGTAGTAGGATAGGATGGGTTGTGTGACTTTTTTTGTAAACGTAAGAATTCATACAATATCGAGCGATTTTGTATCATTTTTTTTAACATATGAAGTAAAAAATGTATGATTCTGACGGTTTTTATTCTTACGTTTTTGAATAAATCAAGATTTAAAAAATTTTCAAAATTGTAAGACATTTACACTCAGCCCATACATAAACACATTTTAAAAAATTAACATTAATTTTAAAATAATTTATTTCATCTTTTATAAAAGAAGCTATATATAGATGATGTCAGATATTCCGCGATTAATTAAACATTGTTTAAATCCTGAATGGAATCAATGGAGTCATAATCAAAGACCTCATAAACGAGAAAAAGAAATTAGAAATAATTATTTTCATGAATGAAAGATTCACTACCATAATGAAATAAACTTTAAAAATTCAATGTCTTACATTTTTGAATAATTTATTTTTATTTTGTATGAAATGAGCGTCAAGACTAACGACGTTAAAAAATTGGGATTCACAAACGAGGAAATAAAGGATATATTAGAGGAGGCGGGTTATGAGGTTGATAAATATTATTTAAGAAATTGTCAAAAATTCGCGGAGTTTTTAAATGATTTGATTATGATGGAAAAATGAATAAAGATGATGTTATAAATTTCTTATATCCCACATCTAAAGAAGAAAAACCTAAAGAACCTGATGTTTTCCCTGAATATTATGAAGAACGGATTAAAGATGATGAATGCAATGAAATTGAAAGACTGGAAAAAATAAGAGATGAAATAGATGAAAAAATTAAGGAATTAAGAGAAGTTGAAAAATATAATGAAAATGAAGTAGAGGGTTTAATGAATATCCCAGCTTCGGAATCAGAAGTTCAGAAATCTCATGAAGAAAGATATAAAAATTATGTCTCAGAATCAACACAAAATTTATTAGATGGTGAAATAGACGAAACACTTTCAGAAGAAGGTACTAAATTTATTCGTAAACATAAGTTACAATTTATTGATAATGAAGAATACCCTGTATCCTACTTTCACCACCTTTAGATTCCGAAAAATTCAAAAAAGCTCTTAAAAACGTGACATATGCAACTAATACGATTAAGAAAGAAGATCATGATATTTACACAAATTATTATTTAAATAAATGCACAGGTGTTGATAAAGTTTTTGATTTATTAGATAAAATATCAAAAGAAACCATTGGAACATAAAAATTTTGTGTGATTGTGGTTTCATTATTGAAGATACCAATAATGTTTCATATGAAAGAACAGCACCGAAGGAAGACGAAGTGGAAAGGTCTATACCATTCGTTATTAAGAACATAAAAGATATGAAAACTATAAACATTATATTTATTCATTTATTTCAGAAAAAATGGAAGCAACCCATAAAACATCTTCTCATCATTTTATAGCTATTCATACATTCCTTTTCAAAGTTGTGAAATTAAATAAGACAGGAATTAGATTTAATGTATCAGGGTACGCATTCTTGAGTAAATTAAAATGTATTCGTCACGTCGCAGATGATAAAAATTTATGTGTTCTTAATTCATTTTATGGGCTTTAAAAAATAAACTTTATTTTTATTTATTTTTTAATTTTTTATTCTTACATAAATGAACAAAAACGGAACAGCTAAAATGAATGATAATCAAATTAGAGCAGAAGGTAGAAGGTTATTTAAACGCTTCTATAACATTCCTGATGGTGTTAATCCTAAAACTCGTAGAAGCTATTTAAATGAAGCAATAGATTCATATGAAGGGTTTGACATTTCATCAGAAAGTGAGAGATTAGCGAGAATGTTAAATGTTAATATTGATTTCTATTATTGTGATCCTCAACCAGAAGACGTGGACATAAATAAGGTAGACTTTCCATTAGTGGAATCAATAATGATAGATCCAGAATTTGAAACAGTAAATATTTTATTAACACAGAGTCCATGTGGAAAACTTCACGCTGACAGAATAACAGACGTTGAAGCACTCACCGGCTATAGAGTTTGTCCATATTGTAAAGAAGAAGTTTATTCTATCCGTGATGATCCAGAAAGGAAAAACCAAAGAAGATTTTTAAAGCATTGTGAGAAATGTAAAGAAAATAATGGAAGATTAATTCAAGACGTTCAGTTGCAAAAGACACAGCAACCATATGCACCACATATTACGAAACAGAAGATATATCAGTGGTTATTAGCTCATAATTTGCAGGAATATTATAAACCAACAAGATATTATATTACTTTTGACTTTGAAACATTAGAGACTAAAGAAGAATTACAACTTTCCGAGTGTGCAACTTTGAATGCTTACTTAAAACCATTCATGGTATCATCAACGGTTAAATTAAATGATAAAACATATACGAGGAATTTTTGCTTAACTTCGAGTGATTCTTTTATTTCTGATTGGATTGAGTTTTTATTTTCAACCTGTTCATTAGTTGCTAAATCAAATATTGAACAATATGAAGAATTAATGAAGTCGCAAACGGCGGGGACTTTGTCCATACATTAAATGAAAAACAGAAGGAAGCATTTAAAGAACTTCTAGATGAGGAATTCAATAAAGTGAATATCATAGGTTTTAATTCGGGAAAGTTTGATTTAAATTTAATTCTTCGTGATTTAAACACTGCAAAATGGAAAATAAAATCAATGCTGGGTTCATCTTCACAATTTAAGCAAATCATTGTAAAGAAAACAAACGTTCCATATGAATTGAGATTTATTGACATCAGAAATTATATAGCGGGTGGGACATTAGACCAATTCACTCAAGATTTCGGAAACAATAAATCACGTGTTAAATCCTTTTTCCCTTATCAATTTATCACGTGGGAAAATTACGAAGAAGAATTATATAAAGAGGAACCATTCATCAAGATTCATTTTATTCAGCATTAACCAAGAAACTATATCAGATAGTGATTATCAAATATATCTCAATGATACTAAAAACTTTAAGAATAGATTAGAATATTTTATTCATTATTGCAATAAAGATGTTGAAATTATGATTGACCCAATCGATAAAATTATTGAAGAAACATTTGTTTATAAAATTGATATGCTTCATAATCTTTCTTTATCATCGAATGCTTCAATGATTCGTTACGCTTTAGCATATAAAGACTTTAATCCTAATGAAAAATATCCTGAGGAAGAGATAGAATCAAGTTTTGAATTAACGAAAAAGTATTGGAAATATAAAATTGAATCATATAAGAAACAAGATGAAAAAGCAGAAAGGGATACTAAAAATAATGTTTCAATGGATGATTTTCAATACTATCACGATTTAATCCTTTCATCTAAATGCAAAATGTGTGGTAAAGCGTTTACATATGCAAATAAACCAACATTGGATAGAATCGATAATGAAAAACCACATACCAAAGAAAATTGTCAGTTAATGTGTTGTTATTGCAATGTCGTAAAATCAAATAAAGATGAAGATGTTCAACGTTTAAGAATCAATTTAAGAAATTATGCATTAAAAAATAATTTACCAATGACTTTAGATTCAGTTGAAGCTTATCACATTCTCCGTAATGGAATTACTGGTGGTCTATCAAATGTTCAACATCGTGTTAATCTTAAAGGAATCACGCACATTAATAAACTTTCATATAATCCAGAAACTAAAACTGTATCAAATGAGGACACACCAACATTATGACTCATTTCGTTGGTGTTGATTTTAATTCATTATATCCTTCATCATTTTCATCTAATCCTCATGATTTCATTCAATATACTGACCATAAAATGTATATGCCGGGAAGATTGAATGGTGTTATCATTTGTGATACAGCAACAAAGAAAGCAAAAGCACTGGGAATAATTAAGAAGAAAAATACTTTATTCGTGGCTGAAGTAAAGGGTCACATTGATGAAAAATACATTAATGATTACATAAACTTTTTACCGATAATAAGAAACTTAGATATTATCACAGATGAAAAAACAATTGGCGTTTTATGTATAATTACATGAAATCAAACAATCTACCAGTTGACCAGAAACAGAGAAAATTAACTCAGTTAGCATCAACACACAACCAATATCAACCATTTTCTTCTTATTATCTTTGGTATCTAATAGACAGATTTCATTTTATCAGATGACATTCAATCAATTTTAACATTTACTAAAAACACTTGTTTTAATGAATTTGCGAACAAATTTATGAACGAAAGACAAAAGGCTGAATTAGAAGGAAATAAAGGAAAAAGTTTATTTTGCAAGATTTCACTTAATGGATCATATGGTTACGATGCAATGAATACACAAAATTACGCAAAGACTAAAATAATGAATGCACAGAAGGCACGCGTTGCATGTATGTCAAATAAGTTTAAAAACATAAGAGAAATAGGTGAAGATACATATCAAGTGATGCTTAAAGATAGATTTTATAGATGTGATACATGTTTACAAGAGGCATTCTTCACTTTAGATAAGCAAAATACTGGTATTTGGTTTTCATTTATGATTTTATGTATAAATGCTGAATGTTAATCGTTTTCATTTCATTGAAGGTGATACTGATTCATCTTATTGGGCAATTGCTGGCGACCAAGTCTTCCTAACACTCAAGCATTTCAAGCAATTGTTACTGATAAACAATTTTATGATAAAAACATTTTCAAATTCGCACCATTTGATTTCTTCTGTTTTGATGAGAAATTTAAACCTAAATTAAAGAATAAAGCTGAAGAAAAAGCACATGAGAAAAAATTATTGGGTTTAGCAATTGAGAAACAAGGTGATAACATGGTTGCTTTATGTCCTAAGTGTTATACATCATTCAACGGTTCAATTGATGGAAGTGATTTTAAAAAGATTGCACAAAAAATGAAAGGTGTTAGTTTACGACAAAATAAGCAATTAACACCTAAAAAATATTTGGATATAATAAATGATAAAGTGATATTTGATGGTCAAAATATTAATTTACAACTTAAAAACGGGTCAATGACTCGCTTAACAATCGGTAAGACCGCATTAACAGGAGCACACACTAAGGCTGTATGTTGTGAAAATGGATGTTGTATGCCATTTATTTAATACAATTTAAAATTGTATTTTTAATGAAATGCCACAGAAGAGACAAAAGGAACCAAATCGATTTAACTTTCAGATTCCAAATAATCAACCACAACGAATTTTTTAAATCCCATCACAGCATCAACAGCAGCAACAACCGCCACCATTCGATACCGTTTTAGAAGAAGGAACCGTTAATGATGGTTTTGATACTATGATTCAAAGAGGTGGGCACCCTTAAACATTTATTTTATTTTTATATAAATGGATAACACAGATTTAAAAAATTTAATTGATGATTTAGTACTTAATCAAAATTTTCTTAGTTATTATGATTTAAAATCATATCTCCAAAAATATGATAACAATATAACGGGTGATGATATGGAATATTATTATCCATATTATAAAAATGAAATTTTGAAATATCATGATAGAATAATTTCTAAAATTAAAGACAAAATTAAAAATAATAAATATTCAAAGGGAAAAACTAAATCACAACTTAAACAGTTGAAAGATTTCAAAAATAAAGTATTAACAGAAGAAGATATTGATGGATTATATAATTTATATAATCCAGAGCCACAAAAGCCAAAGCCGAGGTCTAAAGTAGCAAATGTTCAACAGCCAAAGGAACAAAACGCCCAGGTTCTTCAGACCATAAATGATGCACAAGCTTTAATTTATGATTCATTAGTTAAACCATATTCAGCCCGACTTTTAAATGAAGATCAACTTTTGGAATTCATCCTTCAACATAAACTCGAAGTGGGAAAGTATATCAAACCTTTATATACAGCATATTTAAAACAAATGAATAGAATACATCCAGAATTAATGAAGGGGGGAATGAAATCCAAAATCAAAGCAGATAAAATTAAACCACTTGCAATACCAAAACCTCCAACGACAGTACCGCCTCCTCCTTCAGTTAATCCTTCATCATTCACTTTATTATATCCATTTCATACATTAAAGAAACAAAAAGATTTTAAAAAGGATTTCAAGATATTAAATAAACCAATTGACCCAAAAATTCAACCGTTAAAGGAAAAATTTAGTCGCCCTTCATTTGCACCATATCCATATTCATACGAAATCGATCATTTAGAATATTCAAAAGGAAACGTTACTTATTTATTTGCCATTAACATTAACACTAGATATTTATATTGCATTCCAGTGAAAGGGAAAACAGAACAGGAAACAAGAAGAGCTATACAATACTTACTAGATCATGAAAGAGTAGATAATATAAGGGGTGATGGTGATAAAGGATTTCAGGCAACTATGACTCATTATTTCCCACAAATTAATTTTTTCTTTTCATCCTCTCCATATACGTTTCATAATAAAATAGTTGATGCGGTAATGAGAACTCTTAGAGATGCGTTAGGGGTTAACGGTCAGATATACTGGGATGGAAATCATGACTCCATCATACAACAGTTAGTATATTATTATAATAATACATGGCATAGAACTATAAACATGAAACCAGTGGAAATGAAAAATGATATTTCAAAAGAATGGGAATATATAGGGTGTCCAAAGGTGTGTTTAGCACAAACCTGAATACTGCGAATAGAAATAAACAAGTTACATATATATAAAGTTTATTTAAATATAATCACCATTGGATTCAATCACACGTTCGCAGCGATCGATCCAGGCTTGAAAGACACGCTTTAAATCATCATGAGAAAATTGCTCAAATTGCTCTCTTACAAAATTTTCAAGATCATCTGGACTCGCGAATTCGCGTCCTTCAGCTCTCTTTTTTAGCGTGCCGAATAAATAAAAGTCAGAGGGTGCAATATCAGGTGAATAAATTGGGTTTGGAACAACTTTGACATTGTTTTCCACCAAGTAATTCATTACCTTATGACTTTTGTGAACTCTTGAATTATCAAAATGAATTGCAAACTTTTGTTTTTGTTGTTTGGATTTCTCAAACTCATCAGAATTGATAATTTGAGTAAGAACATTGTCAATTAGATACTGAGCATTCATCGTATTAGGTTTTTGAAGAATATCAATTGCGATGATGCCATTCACGCCCCAAAAAACCGACAACATCATCATTGGTGTGTCAATTTTTTTCTTCGGGAATGTTTGCGGATCTTCATCCTTCGGGATCCACATGATTTTGGCTTCTGTTGCATATTGAAACCAAGACTCGTCCCCTGTTACTAAAAAGCGAAACTTCTTGGATTGATACGCACCCAATATAGAGAGGAGCTCTTTCGAAGATTGGACTCTAGATTTTTTTTGAACTGAATTAAGGTTGTGCGGAACCCAACGTGTATACGCTAGTTTGTAGTTCAAATAATTGTGCAGATAATAACTGACTGTTGTACGTGGTATCTTTGTCATCTCCTCTATCCTTCTGAGTGATGCTCTTGGGTCTTCATCTAGCGCTTGAAGAATTGCTTTGATTTTTCTTTGATCCGGCGATTTTTTGTCAATTTTTATGATGGGCGCCTTTTTGTTCATGAAGTGATACATCCTAACATGATACGTTACAGTGGAATAGCTAGGAGCATCCATACCGAAGCATTTTACCAATGTCTCGTAGATTTTTTACAGTCTTTGCATTTTTTTGCAAGAGCGAGGATGTTTTCTTTATGATTCATTAAAAAAATGAAAAAAATCCCGCCAAAATTTCCCGCGAAACCGCCTCTTGTCTCAAAATTCATTTTATATCCCGGCATGGCGCCAAAATACAACTTACTCATCATATACATATATTCATATTTTTTATTATATATTTATAATCAGCATATATCTCCTTTAATAGTCTCATATAGAGCGCTGTGCTAAACGCACCTTTGGACACCCTATATTAGAAAGCAAATGGAAAGGTTAAATGATGTTAAACGTGAACAAATTAATTCGGGGCTCATGAATTTTAAACAAGGGGATAAAGTTTTGATTCATCTCGATTATGGAAAAACTAATAAATCAATGGCAAAAAGAAGACGAAGATTTGACACAATAGCTGAATTTGTTAGATATATTAACGGCAATGCATTAGTTGAAGTTGACAATAAATTAATAGAAATTCCGATTTATTTTATTACTCCATTATATTTAAATAATATTTAATTTTTTTATTTCGTAAGAAATGGGTGACAACGAAGCAGTCAAGAGTCCAGACGATGAATATAAAAAGAAACTAAACAGAATTAAATCAAAAATATGCTATTACAAAAAGAAGCCGCAATGTGGTGGGGTTGATGCCCATAAAACTAAAGTAATTGAAAACGATGAAGAGAGGAAAGAAATAATCGAAAAATTAGAAACTTACCGTTCAATCCTTAAACTGAGTGAAGCAAAAATAAAAGAATTTAATAGAATAAATAAATTGATTGGAAGAGATGAATTTAATAAAGATGAATTTTTAAACTCAATCCAAATTTAATTTTTATTCCTCTTTGACAACGTCTCGAATAACTGAAGGTGTTACCATGTTACCATGTGCTACCAGGTTAATGAACTTCTCTGAAAAAATGAGACAACATGACATTTTGACAACAGTCCTGGAAATTTGATGCAGTCCAAAAATAAAGTTAGTTTTAAAATTATTTTTATTTATTTTTTATCTTGTATGTAAGAACAGAAATGTCAGTCGAAGCAAAAACATTCACGAACAAATCTAATGGCGAAACATTCACAAAAGGCACTTATAATGGTATTGAAGTCTTACGTAGAGACAAGGATGGTTACATTAATGCAACAAAGATGGCAAGAGAAGCGGGAAGGTTAAACCATTTAAACAGATTTCTCAATAGTACTAAAATGCAGGAAATTCTTGAGTTTTGGATGAACGAATACGGTGGAGCCAAAAGTGGCTCGACCTCAAAACAAGCATTTTATGAGCTTACAAAGGGTGTCATGAATGAATTCAAAGGTATTTACATACATCCTGACCTCGTTCATTTTGTTGCTGAATGGTGCTCTGTAAAGTATGCATTTTATGTCAAAGATATTATGGACTCCATAGACAAGAAAGTTCATGAGAAATTAGATGAAGAAGAACTTGAAGATACAGTAGAGAATGCTAAACCTTTGTTTGAAGAAGAAGTTAGAAAAATGTGCGAAAAACAATTAGAACATGAACGTGAGTTATGTTATGGTTATAGAGATTCTCCATTCGAACTAGACCAATGGGAACAAGAAAATTTAAAGAGAGAATTTAGAGAATATGAACTCGCTAAGATAGCATTAGAAGCTGCAGAAAAGAAGTTAAAAGCTTGGGGTCGTTTTGTAAAAAAATATTGTGAGTAAATGAACCATTTATTTTTGTCATAAACGACCAAAAATAAATGTTTACGTTAAGTGACTCAAAGAGTCCGGAGACAAAGTCTCATGTTTACGTTAATGGTTTCAGGTTATTCAATAATTAATTATTTTTGAAGAACTGAGGGTGTCACTATGTCACCATGTCACTCGGTTAATTAACTTCTCTGAAAAAATGAGACAACATGACATTTTGACAACACAGCAGGATTAATGAGGAAGGCACTTATGAATTATTTTTGAAGAACTGAAGGTGTCACTACGTCACCATGTGTCACTCGGTTAATTAACTTCTCTGAAAAAATGAGACAACATGACATTTTGACAACACAGCAGGATTAATGAGGAAGGCACTTATGAATTATTTTTGAAGAACTGAAGGTGTCACTACGTCACCATGTGTCACTCGGTTAATTAACTTCTCTGAAAAAATGAGACAACATGACATTTTGACAACACAGCAGGATTAATGCAAAAATAAATTCAAATCATACTTTATAAAGCTTCATTTACAGGTATTTCATCGTCAGTAAATGAATCCTCATTATCGTTTGGTTCAACCTGTTTAATAATCCTTTCATTTCTTCTTTCAAAACATAACACCATGTTTGTTTACCATCTATTCTTCTCTGTTTCTTATCACATTTATCCTTAATGCTCATTTGAAAGTTTTTGTCTTTCATGTCTGATGGTTTGCAGAATAGAGCGTTTTTACACGTCATACCTGCACACAATTCATCATAATGTGTATTTATCCATACATCTAAAGGATTTGTTGATAATTCAATTAAATCTTGTTTGGCTTCAGTCATCGGTATGATTCGTACATTAAATGATGAAAGGTCATATTGCATAAAATACGTCAGTAAATTATCATAAAATTCCTTTGTGCATGAATTCATCAAATTCTTGAAGTAATCAAATTGACCCTTGAATTTACCATTAACTCTTAAAACTACGTATCTTCTGTCTCCAACTTCAATTTTGACAGGGTAAACGTTATTAGTTACGAAAATGAAGTTTGCAACATTCTGAGCAGTTCTTCTGGGTTGATTCTTTTCATTAATTCTAATCTCATTATCCGTAATAATTGATTTCAAAGCGTTGAAGTTTGCGAGTCTATCTTCACCTACATTCTTGAGTTCATTAAGTACAAGAAACATTTTATTTTCAACTACTGAGTTGAAATTACCCGTTAGCTCACCTATTTCGGTAATGTTTTTACATGAATAACCAGCGAGAAGTTCAGAAATAATGTCTGTAAATCTGTTTTTACCTGTTCCCTGAAGTCCTTTCAAAATAATTGCTGTTTCATTCTTGATTCCAGGATGTTGAATCATTGATGCAATCCAGCCGAGAAGGTATTTATACACTTCATCATTATTATCACAAATGGCTTCTTTAATGAAATTCATAAACATCTCAATTTTTGAGTAATCAGGCTTTTCGAGAATGTTGTATTTATAACCTTGAAACGTTGAGAAAACATCTGGAGAATCAGATTTAAAGCAAACACCCTTAACGGTTAATGAGGATAATTGATTTAGTAGTACATCCATGCTGTTATTGTTTTACCTTCTTCTTTAAATAATTTAATCATTTTGAGTGACTCTTTCATGTTTATTGAAGAACGAATGATATTTGATTCATTTTGTCGTGGATATTATAGTCCTTTTGAATGAAATATTTGTTTCCACAATCTACAAAACGGATTACACGTGATAAATCCTCAATTACTTCAGAACTGTTTTTATACTGATGATTTTCAGCCCTGCGTCTAATATCTGTTATCAAAAACGAGTCATCAAGTTTGATATCAAATGTTATTTTTGGCTTACGTAATAAAGGTAAAACATATTCATCATAATATTCCTTTTGATAAAGTTTTTAGAATCTTCACTAAAACAAATGGAGAAGTCATTAAATGTGCATATCTACTACGTGCTTTTTCAAAATTACTTTTTTGCATTTTCTGTTAAATTGCAGAAGTTATAAACGTTATCGTATGCTTCATTAATCAAATGATCCGGTAACGAATTAATTGCTTGAAACAGTGTGAATAATGTAACTTCTTTTTCTAAATTCATGTTTCCACCGTCATTATGTACTTCAAAATCACTGATGCCATCAACTATGCTCTGGGCAAGTTTATCGTCAATGTTTACATCTTTGTTTTCATTCATTATACTCTTTATTTCTTCGTTCTTTTGTTCAACTCTTACCTTAATATTCAAATCATTTAATATATCATTCACTGTTCTAGTTAATGTTGAATCATAACTTCCACGAATGAATGAGTATGTATTGATTGGTTCTGTTGCATTCTTGCGAACTCTTGAATCAGCCATAACTACTAATGAACGCTTTGAATCATCCATTGAAGTCATTATATCAATATCATAATCATTGCAGGAATAACATTTAATCATTCTGTTCGAGGTTGAATAGAAGAAATTAGTGTTACAATAAATGTGAAGACCTCCTGAAGCGGTTTTAACGATAACATCTTTATCCGAAAGTTTTGATAAAATGTCTTTTCCAACTGTTTCTTTAAGTTCATCATTGTACGATTTATTGATATCAACATCTATAATCGTTAAATTTGATATTTTATTTACTAATAAAGCTGTACCAGTTTTCCTTCCTCTTCCTCCATCATGTTTGAGGTAGTTATGTAAATCAATCTTGTTTTCACCAATTCTTTCGTTGAGGGTTTTAGTTTCTGCCACAACTAATTCCTCAGCTAATGAATCAATAACTTTTTCATCAGAAACGATATAGTTACTGTTGTTTGTTGCTGTCATTTATATAGGAATAAAAAAATAAAAATAATTTTAAAACTAACTTTATTTTTGGGCTGCATCAAATTTCCAGGACTGTTGTCAAAATGTCATGTTGTCTCATTTTTTCAGAGAAGTTAATTAACCTGGTAGCACATGGTAACATGGTAGCACCTTCAGTTCTTCAAAAATAATTCATAAGTGCCTTCCTCCTGTGTTGTTGTCAAAATGTCATGTTGTCTCATTTTTTCAGAGAAGTTAATTAACCTGGTAGCACATGGTAACATGGTAGCACCTTCAGTTCTTCAAAAATAATTCATAAATACCTTCCTCCTGTGTTGTTGTCAAAATGTCATGTTGTCTCATTTTTTCAGAGAAGTTAATTAACCTGGTGACATGGTGACATAGTGACACCTTCAGTTCTTCAAAAATAATTCATAAGTGCCTTCCTCCTGTGTTGTTGTCAAAATGTCATGTTGTCTCATTTTTTCAGAGAAGTTAATTAACCTGGTAGCACATGGTAACATGGTAACACCTTCAGTTCTTCAAAAATAATTCATAAATACCTTCCTCCTGTGTTGTTGTCAAAATGTCATGTTGTCTCATTTTTTCAGAGAAGTTAATTAACCTGGTAGCACATGGTAACATGGTAGCACCTTCAGTTCTTCAAAAATAATTCATAAATACCTTCCTCCTGTGTTGTTGTCAAAATGTCATGTTGTCTCATTTTTTCAGAGAAGTTAATTAACCTGGTAGCACATGGTAACATGGTAGCACCTTCAGTTCTTCAAAAATAATTCATAAATACCTTCCTCCTGTGTTGTTGTCAAAATGTCATGTTGTCTCATTTTTTCAGAGAAGTTAATTAACCTGGTAGCACATGGTAACATGGTAGCACCTTCAGTTCTTCAAAAATAATTAATTATTGAATAACCTGAAACCATTAACGTAAACATGAGACTTTGTCTCCGGACTCTTTGAGTCACTTAACGTAAACATTATTTCTGCAGTTCATCCATTACTTCATTACCTAATTAATTACAGACATAAAATATATTTAGTTCATTCGGTAAGCCTGCAAAGTAGGCTCAAGTGTGTTTATTGAACGCGGTACCATGCGAATACAGTCACAAATGGTGGCATGTAATCTTTACCCGAGCCTGTTGGATTTGTTGTGAAAGTGTGTGAATGATTACCTGCGGTTCCACAGAAAATACCTGTGCTTGAATCTACTGGGTCAGTTGTGATATCATATCTATTCATTCCCCATCTATCCGAACCAGCTGCAAGATTTATATAACCTCTTTTTGTTATTGAATGTGAATGATTACCTGTTGTGTTTGTAGTTCCTGTATGAGTGTGCGGTGGAAGGTTTGCTTCTTTAATTTTCTTCGAACCTCCTGTTTGCTTTGAATATCTAGCACAGTATAAGAATTTATCTACAATCTGCTTCCACGTACCAAAACCTAAAACTGTTGATGGATTTGTTGAGTTCATTGACGTATAAATAGAACCAACAGGATATAATGTTTGAAGTATTTCATTTTTCATGCTTGTAATCACATCATTTACTTCCGACTTCTTTGCATAATTTTCATCAACATAAGTTTTATCTGCTTTAAGATCTAAACATCCTGAAACCCATTCTGTATCAGCTTTAACTTTAAAAGTCTCCGATGTCCATTCATGATACCATTCAACCTTTTCTTTAATTTCATTATCTTTTTCATCAACATAAACCAAATTTGCCTTCTTATTTAACTCAGTATTAACGTATTCCTTATCTGCTTTCTTCATTATGTCATTTAGGAAACCTTCTATGAATTCCTCATTTAAATTAAATCTTCCAATCTTCAAAACTTTAGGAAATGCATTTAATGCGTAATATCTCTGTTCTTCTGGTGGAATTGATGTTATATCATCCGTTATTCCTTTAATTTTTGAATTCATAAATAAAATTTCTTTTATATTTGATATCACCGCACCACCTTTGCAAACGAATTCGAAATGGTCATTTTTCAATACTATCTCCAAATCTCCATATTTCAACCTTTGCGTTTGTTCTGCCGTCTTTGAATTATATGCATATATGGCGTATGTAATGGTCTGAGGGACCTGGGTGTTTTGTGCCTTAAGTTGTTGTGGTTGCTGTTGTTTAATCATTTATTACGATTTAAAAATAAATATTTAATCCGTTATCTCATCAGCTATTTTCTCTATTTGAAATTGCCATAATATCTCATTCATGAATTCTAAATCACAATCAAATAGGTCAGTTATTCTAAATTTAATATTTGATAAATCTTTTGAATGAAGAATAAATGAATTCCCGGATAATTGAAACGGATATGATAAAGAAAATGTGTTTAAGTTGATGGATAAAATGTTTTGTATTGATGGGTAAGAGTTAGGGTCTAATGTTTGGTGTGAAAATCTCATTGGGGTATTAACTTTATCACATTTGATTAAAATGAAATTGGAACCGGTGTCAGAATACAAAACATCCCCAACATCTTTTTCAAAATTTAATATCCCCAACAATGAACGAAGATGAGGAGTACAAAATTTAATTTTCAGCGGAAATTTAATAAGGTTATTTATTTCATCAAGTTCAAAAAGTTTATCGGGTTTTGATTTAAAATTTTCTTCATACCATACGATAAATGATTCATTTAAATAACTTAAAATCATGTTAATATCCCATTTCGCTATCACATTATTTATATACATAACATACGTTTTTTCATGGTCATCTTTAATAAATGATATATAATCTGAAGGGTCTAAAAGAATGGGATTAAATTTACCACTCACAGAAACGAGAGTAACATTATAAATTCCGCTAACTGTTAAATTTAATTCACAGTTATTATTCGAAATAATATTGATAATTGACATTTTTATTACGATTAAAAATATGGTAAAGCGTTATTTTCCGGTGATAAATAAAACTAGAATAAGATTACCTCAAGAATTCATAAATTCAACGAATAAGAAATTCATTCATGTTATAAATTTTAGTGTTTTCAGAAAATATGAGTCAATGTCATATTCATCAACAGGTTATATTTCACTTCATTCAAATTTAGTTCAATCGAACCCATATAATGACCATTTCATAAGATTTTCAGATGGTATTAAAAATGTAATTGATAGATTAAAATATGAACAGATTGACAATATCGAATTTTTGGAATTTTGGTTTAAATATCCCGATGGAAAAAAGATTGAAGTTAAAGATAAAGCTGATACTATAACAAAAACAATTACAATGACCGATCCGGATAGTGGGGAACAAAAAGAAATAAAACAAACGAGAAAACTGGTGAAAGGTCAATTATTATCGATTATGATTCAAAGGATTATTATTCGATAATGTTAATGCTTGAATATTAAATAGCCTTAACAAAGAATTTTTCAAGTGATATTTTATATTCATCAACTATTTTATTATAAATATCATTATATGTTAAATGAAGTTCAGTTGTTGTTCCGTTCTTTGATATCTTAATTGTGCTAATATCCTTTATAGGATTTATTTTTGCAACTGTTCCGCAGCATGAAACCTCATCATCTATGAAAAATTGAATCTTAACGTCTGAATCTTGAACATCACAAAGAATGGCGATAATGTGAATTAATGATTCATAAGGTAAAATAATTAAACCGGATTGATCAATTAAATTTATTATTGAATCATAATTATTAATTATTATATCACGGTAAATTTTCATTAATTCAGAATTAATGTCTATTTTATATGGGTTCTCGATGTTTGATGAAAGAGGTGGGGGTATGTTGGATAAGTGGGAATTTCAACAGGTTCTTTACCAGGTTCAGATAAAATGATTGGGTCTCCATCTTCTTTATTTTGCTCCTCCTCCTTTTTCGGTAAGTCACGAGTTAATAAATTTGGTTGAGTTGCTGACCTTGTTAATTCGGGCTAACATTAACTTTAACATTTTGAATAATTCGTGATTTATCATCATTTACGTTATAACCAACCGTAATCTCTGCTTTTGCGTTACTGTTCTTTTGACTAGTGAAACGTCTTCTCATTTATATTCGAATAAAAAAAATATATTTAAACTTTTATTTTGCTGGAACTTTTGAATCTATTATTCCCTGTATTTGTTCATGAAGTTGATTTTTAGCATTTTCATCGAAATTAATAGACCGAATATATTCATTAATTGCATTCTTATAATCATCTGATTTCTCAAATTTTCTTTTATCTGATTCCTTAACTAAATCATAAGTTAAACCACGTTGCTGATATAATGGTTTCTTAATTAAATCTTTGAATGCTTGAGATAAAGCACCTGATGCAATTCTTGCTACTATAATTGGTTGGAATTGCTGTTTAAGTTCATCTTTAACATTTGCGAAAACTGGATCGAATAAAGCAACTTTAAAGAATTTCTTAGCTGAAATTTCGGGTCTAATATTTGCATATTGACCATCAAACTGGTTAGAATATCGTGGTAATCCATCCGGTCCCTCTTCAATAGCATTTAATTCTTCATTGAAATAAGAATATGGATTATGACGGTATGAATTAATTGGACCATGTTCACCTTCTCCAATGTATTGTTTAACAGCTTTTCCATTTTCATCAAATTGCATAGGATAACGTTCATTATATACTTTACGTTTAGGATAATCAGACATAGTTAATTTGTAACCATTTATGACTTTAATATTACCTTGACCATCAGTAACGAAAACTTCATTTATACCATCGGGTTTTCCATTTGGACCCGTAATGTCTGCTTCGTGTGCTTCCCAATTTGGACCATGACGTTTGGCATATGCTTGAGCTTCTGGTAATGTTAAAACGTTTCTCATTTGTTTAACATCTTTTTGAAGACCAGCAACAATATGAACTAATTCTTTCATTCCATCAGGAACTTTCATAGTTCTATTATATACACCCTTTTTGTTTGTCCCTTGTTTTAATGGAACCTGTAGAAGATTTGCTATTTCTGTCATGTTTAATTATAAATAAAAAATAAAAATTAATTATAAAAAGTTAATCAAATTTAACACTTCCTTTATTTAAATCAACTATTATTTTTCCATGTTCACCTAATTGCTGATATTGTGTGTAAAGTTCATTAATGGTCATTGGTAAATTCACTTGATAAAGCATAACGTTCAACTGTTGACAACTAAACCCACTGAAAATGAAAAGTGTTGATAGATTTGATTTAATGTTTGTGCTTAATGCTTTGAAGTATTGAACAGCCATGAAGAATGAACACTGAATGTGTCGACATTGAGTTAATAACTGATTAAAATATGATTTCTCATTTGTTATTAGTTTTGATTTCACTGCATCATCTAGAAAAATGAGTGAATGCAAAAATTCTCTATCAAAATTTGAAATAGAAAGTGTTTCAAATAATTCATCCCGTTGTTTATCAATAATTTTATCCTCTAATCCTTGCTTCTTGATTGTATTATATAATTCTTTATACATTAAAAAGTTTTTTAAATAATCTTCTACTTCTTCTTGTGATAAATAAATAATTGGAATTTTGATTAAATGCTTTAAAGATTCAAATGTATCATCTGAAGGTGAACCTGAACGGTTGATATAAATTAACACATGTGAATAGGGGGAAGTGTTAGCAATAATGATAATTTGTTTTAATATCGTTAATGTTTTACCTTTATTTTGTTTACCAATTGCTGCAGTGATTGAATTTAAATAACATTCAGAATATGGAATTTTCATTAATTTTTCCTTAGATAGAGCATTTCTATTATCACTCAATGCTTCATTAATCATATCATCTACGTATGTATTATATACTCCCGCTAATTCTTCATAAGGGGTGGATGAATTTAAATCCATTTAATCAAAAATAAATTTATAATTTTAAACATTTCTATTCATCAATATTTCATCATATGAACTTCTATACTGTGGTGGTGTACCTGTTGGATGATATTTCAAACCTTCATCCGGTGTCCATGTCCAATACGTAGTCCTAGTAAACCAGAGGAGGATTTGTCACCTTTGAACAGTAAGTGTCATTATCACCCTGAATGATTGGATATGCTTTCACTTGTACTGTAACTTGTGAGTTGAAAGTTTCTAATCCATCAAAGAATATACCCGCTCCATCACGTTGAACTGGAATAGTGCATAAGAATGAAGTTTGGTCTTTCCATGTTCTAGCTAATGGCGTGCCATCATCTGCATTCAGTGGTCTAGTTAATGAGTCCTCGTATTCTTCCGTGCATTCATTCACTCCATCTAAATCAGAAGCTTGAAGCATACGTGTAAAGAATATGTCACCCACTGTGGTCATCGCTTGATCGGGGAAGTTTCTGGAATCTATAGTGACCTGAAGACCTCGAAGCATTGGATTTTCTAAAACTGTTCTTTGCATTGCATTCTTCGGAAATGTTAACACAACATCTGTAACATTATGAAGAGCGTATGAGAAATCTGAGCTGATACCTTCAGGAGTGATGCAACCTCCATTTAGTGAACGAACGTCAATATGTTGAGCTGGAATCATGAATGGATCTTCCTTACTGAATAAATGGTATTGCTTTAACTGATTCTTCAATTAAACCGTATCCTGGTGTAATGCATTTATCCTCTAAAACTTCCATCTTTGTGCATGAAATAATAACGTTATCAACTGTTGCGTCAGCAGATGTAGCGGCTAAGTTTGTAATTAATTTGGCAGGAAGTCCGATTTGTTGGAATTTGCGATCATATTTATAAACATGATTCATAATCTTTTCATAATTTTCATCAGTTATCTTTTCATAAACGTAATTTTGTAAATCAGCAACTCTTAACGGGTCAACCTGACAAAATACTAAAGTATCCCTGAAAACATAATATTTAAGAATGATATCACCAAATGATTTAGGATAATCATCGAACGCCTGAAATGCTAACAAATCATTTACCGGAATAATCATATCAAAAGTGACATCAACTTCTTCATTTGCTTTCTTGAAAACTTCTGAAGGGTCAATATATTTACCACATACTGAGTTATCATATTTTTGAACATTATTATATAACGAATGAACAAACTTTTTAACTTTCCTTTCTGATTTTGGTTTATATGTTGCAAATGCGAAAGATTCACGGGCGCAATCCATCTGAAGATAACCGGCATCACCTCTTTCGG